CAGTACGATGGCCCCCACGCAGGGCCGGCCAGCCCTGTCCATGCGGCGGCTCCTCCTTCCAGCCGCCCGCCCCCCACGTGTTCCTCTCCAGAAGACTGCAGCTCCAGGGTGGGGTGGGGCCGGCCCGGGGTCCCGGCGGCAGCCAGGCTGGCCTGGCCGTGAGTGACAGCCACCCGGGGATCCCCTCGCGCTCGGCCCTCATGGGGCCTGCAGGTTCAGCTGCTGGTCACCGTGGCAACAGCCCCGGGAAGGAAGAGGAGCTAGGGCCCGGACGAGAGCCCACGGGACTGCCTGCGGGCCCCCGGACGCTGTCTGTCCTACCGGCTCCTGGGCTGGATGCCCGCTTCGCCCTGAGCCATGGGCGCTTCACCCAGGCCCCAAGCTCAGGGTGTCAGCTCAGGCCAGAGCCCGTGGGCCTGCCCAGGCCCCCTCCACGCGCGGTTCAAACGCCGCCCCGGGAGGAAGCAGCCAGGCTCTCTGCAGGCCGATGCTGGGGGTGTCTGTCAACCTGGTTGTGCCCCCAGGTCCCCCTGCTTCCCCCTCCTGGTCCGAGACTTGGCTCCATTCTGCCCTTCCTGAGGGTGCAGGCTGAGCTGAGCCTTTCTGAGAGGAGGGCCCGGGGCAGGCCCCAGCCGTGGGCCCCGCTCCCCCCAGACCCTTCCAGGAGGGGCACGTGTGCACACCCGTCCCCGTGTGTGACTTTCCCTTGGGTGTTCCAGGATCTCCAGATGCCCTGCCCAAGGCCAGCCACTGGCCTGGTGCAGAGGGGAGTCTCGCGGGCCTGAGCCTGTGCTGGACGGGCAGGGGCTCTGCCAGCCCGGGTGCGGGGTCCCTCCGTGCTCCAGCAGCTGGAGCCCTGCCCTCTGGCGGTCTCTGAGCTGAGGATGAGTGAATAGATGCACCACGCTTGGTCAGCTCGCCATTGCAGGGTGTCTGGCCCGCCTCACAACGTGGCTCTTGTGAATAGTGCAGGAGGAACATGGGTGTGCAAGTGTCTTTCCAGCATCCTGGCTTGTGTGTGAGAGTGGTATGGCTGGTCCTAGGGACGTTCTAAGTTTAGTTGAGGAACCTCCAAACAGCCACCCAGAGTGGCTGTGCGAGTTTACCCTCCCCCGACATCCCTGCCAGCATGTGTTGTTCGGATTCTCGGTGGCGTGAGGCAGGGTCTTCCTGCCTCCTGGGCTCTTCCGTGTCGTCTCCCACCGGCAAGGGCGGCGGCACCCCCAGACACCGGCGCTTGGCCTTGCCTGCTGGGCCGTGCTGCTCTCTGAGGGACCGGCTTCCTCCATCATAAACGTGTCTTCCTCCTCGAGCAAACTGGAAAAGGAAGGTTGGCTGCCCAGGAGGACGTGGCGGGAGGAGGGGTGGGCCGCGCGTGGTGAGGGAGGAGGGGTGGGAGGAGGGGCGGGCCGCGCGTGGTGAGGGAGGAGGGGTGGGAGGAGGGGCGGGCCCCGTGTGGTGTGGGAGGAGGGGCGGGCCCCGCGTGGTGAGGGAGGAGGGGTGGGAGGAGGGGCGGGCCGCGCGTGGTGAGGGAGGAGGGGTGGGAGGAGGGGCGGGCCCCGCGTGGTGAGGGAGGAGGGGTGGGAGGAGGGGCGGGCCCCGCGTGGTGTGGGAGGAGGGGTGGGAGGAGGGGTGGGAGGAGGGGCGGGAGGAGGAGCGGGCCCCGCGTGGTGGGGGAGGAGGGGTGGGAGGAGGGGCGGGCCGCGTGCGTGGTGAGGGAGGAGGGGTGGGCCGTGCGCGTGGTGAGGGAGGAGGGGTGGGAGGAGGGGCAGGCCCCGCGTGGTGAGGGAGGAGGGGTGGGAGGAGGGGCGGGCCCCGCGTGGTGAGGGAGGAGGGGTGGGCCGTGCGCGTGGTGAGGGAGGAGGGGTGGGAGGAGGGGCAGGCCCCGCGTGGTGAGGGAGGAGGGGTGGGAGGAGGGGCGGGCCCCGTGTGGTGTGGGAGGAGGGGCGGGCCCCGCGTGGTGTGGGAGGAGGGGTGGGAGGAGGGGCGGGCCGTGCGCGTGGTGAGGGAGGAGGGGTGGGAGGAGGGGCGGGCCCCGCGTGGTGAGGGAGGAGGGGTGGGAGGAGGGGCGGGCCCCGCGTGGTGTGGGAGGAGGGGTGGGAGGAGGGGCGGGCCGTGCGCGTGGTGAGGGAGGAGGGGTGGGAGGAGGGGTGGGTCCCACGTTGTGAGGGAGGAGGGGTGGGAGGAGGGGCGGGCCCCGCGTGGTGTGGGAGGAGGGGTGGGAGGAGGGGCGGGCCGTGCGCGTGGTGAGGGAGGAGGGGTGGGAGGAGGGGCGGGAGGAGGAGCGAGCCCCGCGTGGTGTGGGAGGAGGGGTGGGAGGAGGGGCGGGCCCCGCGTGGTGAGGGAGGAGGGGCGGGCCGTGCGCGTGGTGAGGGAGGAGGGGTGGGAGGAGGGGCGGGCCCCGCGTGGTGAGGGAGGAGGGGTGGGAGGAGGGGCGGGCCCCGCGTGGTGAGGGAGGAGGGGTGGGAGGAGGGGCGGGCCCCGCGTGGTGAGGGAGGAGGGGTGGGAGGAGGGGCGGGCCCCGCGCGTGGTGAGGGAGGAGGGGTGGGAGGAGGGGCGGGCCGCGCGTGGTGAGGGAGGAGGGGTGGGAGGAGGGGCGGGCCCCGCGCGTGGTGAGGGAGGAGGGGTGGGAGGAGGGGCGGAATGTGCGCGTGGTGAGGGAGGAGGGGTGGGAGGAGGGGCGGAACGTGCGCGTGGTGAGGGAGGAGGGGTGGGAGGAGGGGCGGGCCGCGCGTGGTGAGGGAGGAGGGGTGGGAGGAGGGCCGGAGGACGTGGTGAGCTGGAGGACGTGGCGGGAGGTGATGCTTCCCGACACACGGACTGGGAGTGAGTCCCCTGGTGCTGCGGGGTGGGCTGGGGTCTCCGTGAGGCTCCGGTCCCCTCATCCCAGGCCCCCTCTGCTCCTACAAGTCCAGCTGTTGTGGATTTGGTCTAATGGAGCTTAGCCGTCTAAGCAGATTGCAGCAGAGCTGCAGGTGGGATTGGGGTAGCTCATCCTTCTAATCCTCCCGCTGCATGGCCGTGCCCAGCGCGGGTCCGTCGGGTGGGGCTGTCCTGACCATGGAGGGCAGGGCGGTGGCTGGAGACCCCTGACCCTGGGCCCCTGAGGGTCCCCCGGGTGGGGGTGTCAGCTGCCGCCGCCCATGGTCCTCCTCGCCCACCCCCCACACCCGTCCTGTTCCCTCCACCCCCACATACGAGGCCCAGGGCGGAGCCTGTGTCTGGAGGATGTGTCACTGTGTGGGAGGGACAGCATCTGAGGGAAAATGTTGGCTACTTCCGTTTCACTGAGGAGAAACTGAGTCTAGAGAGGTCAAGCGGCAGATTGACCCCCAGCTGTCCAGCCTGGGTGTGAGCCACCAGACGGGTCTCGGCCTGTGGCCCCGGAGCACGTCAGCCTGGGGCCAGGCCGGGCTGCGTGGCAATAGGACGGGGACAGTAGTCAGGGCCATCCCGGGTCACGGATCCTGAGGACGGCAAGGCCTGCGGAGCCCAGCGGGCTCAGATACCAGGGAGCCCTTAGGGCCGTAGCGGGGTGGTGGGTGAGTGCTGGGCCTCAGTGCAGGGGTGACCGGGCCACCCGCCCTGCACGGGTGCACACCTCACCTGGGCTGAGGACGGGAACCGGCCACTACCCCCTTTCCTAGGAGAGCAGTGTCCCGCTCTTCCCCCACACCCCCTGCGTGGGAAAGGGCGGGTGGGCGGGAGCGCGGCCTCTGGGAAGGCGGTTCCACGCTGGGGGTGGGGGCAGCCGAGCCCCTTCCCCCCAGCCCTCCCCTTCCTCCCAGCCCTGCCCGCTTGGCCAGGACAGGCCACTTCAGCACCATGGACAGCGGAGGCTGCCTGCGCCTCCCTCCTGAGCGGCCTCCTCCTGCCTCGTGTGGGGCACGTTGGGGTGTTTATTTGGGGTGCATCGAGCCCAGCCCCCTGGAAAGGGCCCCAGCTTTGTCCTAGGAGCATGTTGTGGGCTTGGGCACTAGCAGCGGTGGCCCCGTCCTGGGGAGGAGAGAGCCTCCCGGCGGGTGCCCCTCCTGCCCTGTGCTGGGGCAGCCTGCTGATTACAGAGAGCGCAACCTCCCGGCCCGCCCGGCCCGGCCCGCAGCACTGCCCTCGCGGGAGGCTGATTTCTGTTTTCCACAGTCCCATTACAGCAGAGTCTCGCCTTACTGCCGGGCCCATTATGCGTAATTAGGACGCGCTGGGTGGGAACAGTAATTACAGCGGAGGCTCAGAGCCACGGAGCTTGGCGCCACCGTGGGCCGGGGATCTGGCTGGGAAAGGAGGGGCTAGGATGGGGGGCCCCCGAGAGGAGGAGCACGGTCCGGCCCGGCCCTGTCCTCCGCTCCATGCCGGGCCCAATGGCAAAGCAAAGGGAGCTCCTCGAAGGAGGCGCCGGCCTCCCAGGGCCCACCTGCCCCTGGCCGCTCACATCCCCGGGGGCGGGAGTGTGGCCGCAGGCAGGCCGTGTGGCCCGCCGGCCCCAGGGCCCTCCTGCTCTGGGCACACCCATGTGGCGAGTGGGAGCTCTGTGCTGGTGGCACCCGGCTGCCCTGGGCCGTAGGGGGGGTGGGGGGGAGCTGTTCAAGGTTGCGTGTGAGGGGGGTGCTGCGGTCCCCGCCACAGCATGGAGATCGGGCCACCGGCAGGGCCAGTTCTGCCCACAGCTGACTTCCAGAGGCCGACGTCCCTCTACAGGCAGGGCATGGGGGGGGCAGCCCGGGGTGCTGGGCAGCCCTGAGCTGCCCCCAGCCTCAGGTGCTCTGGCTCGGGGCCCAGGCGGCCCGGGTGGCTGGCCCCTTCCCAGAGACGCTTGGACTCTGGGCCAACACAGGCCCCTGCTGCCACCTTGTGGCCCCTCTCAGGACATGCATTCTTGCTCCAAGGTAGTCCCCGCAGCCTGGGCATCCTGGGGACATAGGGTGGAGCCGCACCGGGGTGGGTAAGGTGCGCCCCGCGGGGTGGGTGTCCTCTCCGAGTGGTCCTTAACCCGTCCCCCGCACGTGGTTCGAGCACGTCAGCATGCTGGTGATCATGCTCAACTGTGTGACCCTCGGCATGTTCCGGCCCTGTGAGGACGTGGAATGCCGCTCGGAGCGCTGTCACATCCTGGAGGTGGGCGGGGGCGGGGCGGGGCGGCGGGGGGGGGGGGGAGGGCCCAGACCCCCAGTCCTGACCGCCTTCTCTGCCAGGCCTTCGATGACTTCATCTTTGCCTTCTTCGCGGTGGAAATGGTCATCAAGATGGTGGCCCTGGGGCTGTTTGGGCAGAAGTGCTACCTGGGTGACGCTTGGAACAGGCTGGACTTCTTCATTGTCATGGCGGGGTAGGCCCGGAGCCAGCGGGGTGGCGCCGGGATGGGCGTGGGGGGGGCAGGAGGACTGTGAGCCATCCTCGGGGGCCCCGTGGGCGAGGCTCCCCTGTGTGGGACACCCCTCCGCCTCCGCCCCCTCCCCAGCATGATGGAGTACTCGCTGGACGGACACAACGTGAGCCTCTCGGCCATCCGCACGGTGCGCGTGCTGCGGCCCCTGCGTGCCATCAACCGTGTGCCCAGTAAGTACCTGGCGGCCCCCGGCCTCGTCCCCGCTGCTCAGAGCCAGGGCCGCGCCAGGGGACAGCACTGCTCCAAACACACCAGCCTCTCCCTCTGTGTGGAGGCTGGCAGGCCCTCCCGGTGGGGCGGGGAGGAAGCCCTGGGCCGGAGCCCCAGCCCGGGGGCGGGAGGAGCCAGGCCCGGGCAGCACAGGGCCGGGACCACCAACAGCCCTTCAGGGCCACAGCCGCGAGTGGGCCAGGAGGGGCCCTGCGTCTGCCCGCCCTGTGTGCGGACGGCTTGCAGGCGGTGGTCGGCGGTTTGGACGGCCGCTCTGGACACTGTGGTCTCCTGAGCACAGCGGGGGGGGGGGGGGGGGGCTGGGTTTTCCTTATGTGTTCATCAGCCAAATGGAGCTGCTTAGTTTGGGGGCATGAGCACAGTTCCCAGAGAGTGGTGTGTGTGCACACGCGTGTGCAGTGTGCCTGGGCACGTGCACCACCGTTCCCTCTCGGTACCCTGGTCCTGAGGCCTTGGCACCAAGGGCTGCTCTGCCCGTGCGGTGGTTACATCCACGGGGGGTGGCGGGGGCACCCTAGCCCAGCCCTGGAGCTGCCTCGCGGAGGCTGGTCTCCAGGGGCAAATCACTGACCGCCTCTGAGCTCAGTGCTGTCACAGTGAAATACTCGCCAGGCCCCGGGCAAGGTGTGGGGCGAGGGGTGAGGGGAGGGGCATGGGGGTGTCTGGACCCCGGGCCCACTGCTGCACTGTCTTCCTGGCAGCGCCGTGGGCTTCCGCGTCTGGGCCACCTGTTGGATGCTGGGTGGGTGGTCTGCAGGTGTCAGCTGCCAGAGAAGCACGCTGGTGGGCGGCCCTCGGGCTGCCGCCTCGTCTGCCCGGGGCTGTGCACCCCGTTGGCCTTGTGACTGTGCGGGCTGTGGTGTCCTCCGGTGGCTTTCTCCATCGGCGGCCTGCCGCGTGCAGAGGCTCGGGCTCTGCCCGCGGCCTCGACCGACCCCGCCCGGGTCCTGGGGAGGGGGCCGCACCTGGCCAGGGGTCTGGGAGGGGCAGGCCCAGGACCCAGCAAGGGACATCTGGGCCTGTGGGGACCCCTTTCCTAGATGGTTCACATCCACACAGCCTGTGACTCCAAGGAGCAGTGACTTAGCACCCCCAGGCTGCTGGATCCCAGAGTGTGGGGTTCTTCCCCCTCCAGAAGCACAGGCTGCGCTATGTGGCTGGGGCCTGCGTGTGTCCGGGGCGCGTGGCTGGGGCCTGCGTGTGTCCACGGCGCGTGGCTGGGGCCTGTGTGTGTCCACGGCGCGTGGCTGGGGCCTGCGTGTGTCCGTGGTTCATGGCTGGGGCCTGCGTGTGTCCGGGGCGCGTGGCTGGGGCCTGCGTGTGTCTGTGGTTTGTGGCTGGGGCCTGCGTGTGTCCGTGGTGCGTGGCTGGGGCCTGCGTGTGTCCGTGGTTCGTGGCTGGGGCCTGCGTGTGTCCGTGGTGCGTGGCTGGGGCCTGCGTGTGTATGTGTGTCCGTGGTTCATGGCTGGGGCCTGCGTGTGTCTGTGGTGCGTGGCTGGGGCCTGCGTGTGTCCGTGGTTTGTGGCTGGGGCCTGTGTGTGTCCGGGGTGCGTGGCTGGGGCCTGCGTGTGTCTGTGGTGCGTGGCTGGGGCCTGCGTGTGTCCGGGGCGCGTGGCTGGGGCCTGCGTGTGTCTGGGGCGCGTGGCTGGGGCCTGCGTGTGTCCGGGGCGCGTGGCTGGGGCGCGTGGCTGGGGCCTGCGTGTGTCCATGGCGCGTGGCTGGGGCCTGCGTGTGTCCGTGGTTTGTGGCTGGGGCCTGCGTGTGTCCGGGGCGCGTGGCTGGGGCCTGCGTGTGTCCGTGGTTCGTGGCTGGGGCCTGCATGTGTCCGTGGTTCGTGGCTGGGGCCTGCGTGTGTCCGTGGTACGTGGCTGGGGCCTGCGTGTGTCCGGGGCGCGTGGCTGGGGCCTGTGTGTGTCCACGGCGCGTGGCTGGGGCCTGCGTGGCCTGCACGCAGCGGCGCGCCGGGTGGGCGGGTGCGGGCCTTGGTTCAGGCTGTGCCCAGCACGCAGCCCAGCTTGCCCCTGCAGGCATGCGGATCCTGGTCACCCTGCTGCTGGACACACTGCCCATGCTGGGCAACGTTCTGCTGCTCTGCTTCTTCGTCTTCTTCATCTTTGGCATCGTGGGCGTGCAGCTCTGGGCCGGCCTCCTGCGCAACCGCTGCTTCCTGGACAGCGCCTTTGTCAGGTGCGCCCCCTCCCCCGCGACCCCCCGCCTGGCCAGCCGGCCCCCCGGGGCCACCCAAGGCGAGGGCGGGGCACGTGCTGTGAGCCAGCGCTGCCCACGCCCCCACTCGGACTGGCTGCCCACAGGCCCAGGCTTCAGCTCTGCTTTCTGCTCTCAGAGTCTGACACTTTCCTGGGGTGGGGGTAAGGCAGTGGGGCTGGATCAGAACAGGCCCCACTTGGGAGGAGGACTGGGGGGAAGGAGGAGGAGGAGGAGGGCTGCAGCCGCTCCTGGCCATGGGAAGAAGGCTGGAAGGTCCAGCGGCTCCCTGGGCCGCGGGGGGGGGGGTGTGGGGGGCGGAAGGTGGAGCTCCGCCACAGGGGCGCAGGCCCCACGCCCCCCGACCGTGACCCCGCCCCCCGACCGTGACCCCGCTTCCCCCCCCATCCAGGAACAACAACCTGACGTTCCTGCGGCCGTATTACCAGACGGAGGAGGGGGAGGAGAACCCGTTCATCTGCTCCTCACGCCGGGACAACGGGATGCAGAAGTGCTCGCACATCCCTGGCCGCCGCGAGCTGCGCGTGCAGTGCACGCTGGGCTGGGAGGCGTACGGGCAGCCGCAGGCCGAGGCCGGGGCCGCCGCCCGCAACGCCTGCATCAACTGGAACCAGTACTACAACGTGTGCCGCTCGGGGGACGTCAACCCCCACAACGGCGCCATCAACTTCGACAACATCGGCTACGCCTGGATCGCCATATTCCAGGTGGGCACCGCGGGGGGCGGTGGGCGCCGGGCGTGTGAAGCGGGGATCCCGAGACAGGCCTGCGCGGGAGGGCGTGGGCCGCTCACCCCGCCACGGCGCCCGGCCGCTTCCCTCCCCAGGTGATCACGCTGGAGGGCTGGGTGGACATCATGTACTACGTCATGGACGCCCACTCCTTCTACAACTTCATCTACTTCATCCTGCTCATCATCGTGAGTGGGGGGGGGAAGGGGGGCGGCGTCCCCCGGCCCAGCCCACAGCGTGCCTGACCCTCGGCCCAGCCCTGGAGTGCGTGGCCCCTGGCACAGCCCCGCACCATGACCCCGTTCAGGGAGGACGGCTAAGGAGAAAACCGGCCGTGGGCTGCGCGGCCTCCGCGGAAGGACCGCGTAGCTGTGGCGGATGGCCGTGTGGGGACAGACCCGAGGAGGGATGGACACGTGGGTGGCTCCGTGGGAGGGGGGCGCTCCGCGGACGTGGCCTCTCCGTCACGGCCGCTCCCAGGCCCGGGGTCACCCGTGGTCGCCCTGCAGGTGGGCTCCTTCTTCATGATCAACCTGTGCCTGGTGGTAATCGCCACGCAGTTCTCGGAGACGAAGCAGCGGGAGAACCAGCTGATGCGGGAGCAGCGCGCCCGCTACCTGTCCAACGACAGCACGCTGGCCAGCTTCTCGGAGCCGGGCAGCTGCTACGAGGAGCTGCTCAAGTACGTGGGCCACGTCTTCCGCAAGGTGAAGCGCCGCAGCTTGCGCCTCTACGCGCGCTGGCGGAGCCGCGGCCACGAGAAGCCGGACCCCGGCAGCGGCCCGGGCCCCGGCCCGCGGCCCCCGCGCGCCCGCAGGCGCACCGCCTCGGTCCACCACCTGGTCTACCACCACCACCACCACCACCACCACCACTACCACTTCAGCCACGGCGACCCACGCCGGCCCAGCCCGGAGCCCGGCACCGGAGACAACAGGCTGGTCCCGGCGGGTGCACCGCCCTCCCCCCCGTCCCCCGGCCACGGGCCGCCCGACTCTGAGTCCGTGCACAGCATCTACCACGCCGACTGCCACGTGGAGGGGCCCCAGGAGAGGGCACGGGCGGCACAAGCCGCAGCCACGGCGGCCGCCGGCCTCAGGCTGGCCTCAGGACTGGGCGCCATGAACTACCCCACCATCCTGCCATCAGGGACCATCGGCGGTGGCGGCAAAGACAGCATGGGCGCCGGCCCCAGGGGGGAGCAGGCTGCGGGACGCAGCCCCCTGAGCCCCTACGAGAAGATCCAGCACGTGGTCGGGGAACACGGTGAGGCCCGGGCCACGCCCCTGGAGGGTGTTAATTGGGGAGGGGCCCTGCGCAGGGATCGGGCGGGCCAGCCCAGGCACCTGGGCACCCAGCTCTGGCTGTGAGGAGCGGCGGGATGAGGCACACGGGGTGGTTTTTAGGAACCATGGGTCCTCTTGGTTTGGGGTGGGGACGCCCAGCGGGGTAGTGAGCCCACGTCTGCACACCTCGGCTACCGCTCCGTTCTCCTGGGTGCAGAAGCTCTGTGCCTGTTAGGTTTTTAAAAAGAGGTAGCCGAGTAAGAACAGCACCAGCACACACGTGGTATTCAGGTAAGGGGTAGGTTTATTCAGTAGACCTGCTGGGACCAGGCAAGGTTGGCACTCCACGTGGCTGAGAAAGGCCTGGCAATGAGAGAGAGCTGGGAAAGAGAGGAAAGAGCTAGAAAAGAGCAGAGAGAGGGGTAAGAACAGTAGCACTCACGTGGTATTCAGGTAAGGGGTAGGTTTATTCAGTAGACCTGCTGGGACCAGGCAAGGTTGGCACTCCACGCGGCTGGGAAAGAGAGAGGAAAGAGCTAGAGCAGAGAGAGAGCAGAGAGAGCTAGAAAAGAAGAGCAAGAGCTAGAAACGAACAGAGAGAGAAAGAGAGAGCGTCTGGGCCTGGGCTAGGCCTTATGTAGGGTATGGGCGGGGAAAGGTGTGGCCACATCAAATTCAGATGTGACCTCAGCGGATGCAGATGTGACCTCTTCCAGGTGTCCCAGTTGCCTAGGTAACGCAGGTACTGGGTGGAGACTTTGCTGCGAGGAGGGTGGAGTCTGCTGGCCATCCAGGAGTGGACCTTACATTCCAGCCTTTTAATAATCATGAAATAGGGCGAGGATTCTCTCTGGCTACTTCCTGCTGACAAGGGGCGTCGACAATAGGGGTAAAAGGCTGGAATTTGGTCTCCTCCCTGAGAAGGCAGTGAGCAGCAGCTGTCCCTTGGTGGTGTGAGTCCTTAGGTGAAGTCTGGAGAAGTCTCATGAGCATTGAGGGGCTGGAAAAAAAAATACTAAGCAGCAAATAAATGACAAGAGGAAGGACTTGGGGCTGAAAATGTTGGTAGAAATGTCCCTAGCTACTTCTGACATCTGGCGACTAGGTAGAGAAGTCAGGTGACAAAGGCAAGAATATAAATTCCTGTTCAGTTAATAGGTACACAGGTATAGACATTGGATGGGTAGGCTTCTTACTTCCACTGACCTCCCGGCTCAGGTTAATTTTGAAAGGGCAGGCACAAAGTAGCTGATGTGACATCATCTCCTCTTACTCCTCTCCATGTTCCCTTGTTCCCCAGACTGGCTGAGTCTAGGTGCTCGTTGCTGGGATGGCTTGTCCCAGTTGGTATTCAAGATTTGAACTCAAGGCCTGGGTACTGTCCCTGAGCACTTCTGCTCAAGGCTAGCACTGAACCACTTTGAGTTACAGTACCACTAGTATTCAAGGAGGTTTGAACTCAAGGCCTGGGCACTGTCCCTGAGCACTTCTGCTCAAGGCTAGTGCTCTACCACATTGAGTTACAATAGCACTTCCAGTATTTGGCTGGTTAGAGATAAGAGTCTTGAGCCATGCTTCCAGCCTGGCTCTTTGCAGGTTAGTTGGGAGATGGAGTCTTAGGGATTTTTCAGCCTGGGCTGGCTTTGAACCGAAATCTTTGCCACAAAAGCCCTTTATTATTTCCAATTAAAGCAACAAGGAGATCAAGTAGAATAAGTAGAGCTTACCTGGTTCTTATCAAGAATTGCCAACAAATATTCTGAAATGATGAAACTCATTAGATGTGATGAGAATTTTAGCACAGATATACCCAGTATTTTAGAACCACGTAGTCAGTAGTAGAATACACAACACAAAACAAAAAAGGCAAAACTTAAAACCTAAAATTTCGACAACGTTTAGACATCTTTGCTAACAAAGCATATCAGCTGGTTGGGCCTCCATTACCAGGGCCAGAGTAGAGAAGTGGTGTGGACGTGGATGTGAAGGCAGCAATGGTATCGATGCGCTGATTCCGCCGCAGACAGACTGGTTCGCAAAAGGCTGTCAGAACTGTGGGTATTCCTCAGAGCAAAAAGGGAAGACCAAAAAAAGAAAAAAGAGGGAAAAAACAGAGAAATCCCAGCTTTCCTGACTTTAAGCCTTTATCCGAGTCACGGCACCATTTATGTTAGGTTTTTAAAAAGAGGTAGGCAAGTAAGAACAGCACCAGCACGCACGTGGTATTCAGGTAAGGGGTAGGTTTATTCAGTAGACCTGCTGGGACCAGGCAAGGTTGGCACTCCACGCGGCTGAGAAAGGCCTGGCAATGAGAGCTGGGAAAGAGAGGAAAGAGCTAGAAAAGAGCAGAGAGAGGGGTAAGAACAGTAGCACTCACGTGGTATTCAGGTAAGGGGTAGGTTTATTCAGTGGACCTGCTGGGACCAGGCAAGGTTGGCACTCCACGTGGCTGGGAAAGAGAGGAAAGAGCTAGAGCAGAGAGAGAGCAGAGAGAGCTAGAAAAGAAGAGCAAGAGCAAGAGCTAGAAATGAACAGAGAGAGAAAGAGAGAGAGTCTGGGCCTGGGCTGGGCCTTATCTAGGGTATGGGCGGGGAAAGGTGTGGCCACATCAAATTCAGATGTGACCTCAGCGGATGCAGATGTGACCTCTTCCAGGTGTGCCTGTTGCCTAGGTAACGCAGGTAATGGGTGGAGACTTTGCTGCCAGGAGGGTGGAGTCTGCTGGCCATCCAGGAGCCGACCTTACAGTGCCTTCCTGTGGTCCACGCCCAGGGTGACAGGAGTCCTGGCGTGGGGAAAGTGTGTGTGTGTGTGTGTGCTGTGTGGGCGTGTGTGGGCGTGTGTGTAAGCCAGGTGTGTGTGTGCGTGTGTGTGTGCTGGGTGTGTGTGTGCGTGTGTGTGTGCTGGGTGTGTGTGTGCTGAGGTAAGTGTGCCAGGCGTAGGAACGTGCTGGGTGTGCACAGGTGAGTGTTACACACCTCTGCACCGGGGAGCGTGCCCGCGTGCACGGGGGGGGGTTCACAGGAGAGTGCACGGAGACTTGCCCGGGTATGTGAGTGTGTGGTGCGTGTGCCTCGGTGAGCAGAAGCATGTGCAGGTGTGAGTGCCGCAGGACCTGGAGACCGGGCCGTTTGGGACATGGACATCCGCCGCCCCCCGCACTCCCGTCGTGGCCCGGAGCGGGGTTGGTCCCCCCGCACTCCCGTCGTGGCCCGGAGCGGGGTTGGTCCCCCCGCACTCCCGTCGTGGCCCGGAGCGGGGTTGGTCCCCTGCACTCCCGTCGTGGCCCGGAGCGGAGTTGGTCCCCTCGCACTCCCGTCGTGGCCCGGAGCGGGGTTGGTCCCCCCGCACTCCCGTCGTGGCCCGGAGCGGGGTTGGTCCCCCAGCATCGCCGCGGGGTCTCCCGTGCGGTGTCACGTTTTCCTTCCCTGGAGCTGACCCCCCCCCCACCCCGTCTCCTTCCACAGGCCTGGGCCAGGCCCCCAGCCACCTGTCCGGCCTGAGCGTGCCCTGCCCCCTGCCCAGCCCCCAGGCGGGCACGCTGACCTGCCAGCTGAAGAGCTGCCCCTACTGTGCCCGTGCCCTGGAGGACCCGGAGCTGGAGCTGAGCGGCTCGGAGAGCGGGGACTCCGACACCCACGGTGTCTACGAGTTCACCCGGGACCTGAGGCACGGCGACCACCGGGACCCCATGCGGCCCCCGGCAGACACAGCCGCCCCAGGCAGCCCCCCACGGCTGCCTCAGCGGCAGGCAAGCTCGGGCCGGCCCGGGAGCCTGGGCCGCGCGTGGGCCTCCTTCAGCGGCAAGCTGGGCCGCATCGTGGACAGCAAGTACTTCAACCGCGGCATCATGGTGGCCATCCTCATTAACACGCTGAGCATGGGCGTCGAGTACCACGAGCAGGTGGGCGGGGCGGGGGCACCGTGTCCGCCTCACCCAGCCCTCCCGGGCACAGAGGGCCAGGGACCCACAGGAGGGCAGGCAGGGCAGATTGTGTGTAGGGGCTGGATCAGCAGGGGCTGTCTGTGTGGCTGTTTTTGTTTTTGCCAGTCAGTCCTGGGGCTTGAACTCGGGGCCCGAACTGCTTTTGCTCAAGGCTAGCAATCTACCACTTGAGCCACAGCATTTTCTATGTATGGGATACTAAGGAGCCGAACCCAGGGCTTCATGCGTGCTAAGCAAGCACTCTACCACTGAGCCACCTTCCCAGCCCCTGTGTGGGTTTTTTTTTTTTTTTTTTATCATTGTTCAACAAATACTCACAATTCCTTGAGCTGGTTCTCTTTGGAGTAGCGCACACAGCCCGTGGGGCTTCTGCTCTGGGTGAGGCTGTGAGACGGCCAGACCCACCTCCCCCCACACACACACACACAAAGCCCAGGGACCAGAGACCCAAGAGCATTCACCCAGCTGCCTCGGTCCAGGGACTCAGGCCCAGACCTCTCTCGGTGCCCACTAGGGCCCCTCGGGCTGGGGCGGTGAGCACACAGGGCATGGGGGGAGACCGGCCAGGTCCAATGCGAAGCACACCTGCTCCGGGACAGCAGCGCAGCCATGGCCTCTAAATCTGCTCTGAGTGAGGGAATGGATCTCTCTGCTCTCCAGGCTTTTCCAGTCGCTTGTTGCCTTTCATCTTCTGTTTTGGGGGAATCTACCATCAGCCCCAGGCAGGCCCAGGGCAGGGCTGCCCCCCCTCCCCCACGAGCTGGGTGAACAGCGCAGGCAAGGCCAGCCACCTGCGTGTGGATAGGCGCACACGGGCAGCATGTGGACCCCTGGCTTCGTCCCGTGGCCGCAGCCGCAGAGCCATCCTCCGAGGGGCTGGAGCTAGGAGCAAGGCCCTGATCACCCCTCCTTACCCACAGCCTGATGAGCTCACCAATGCCCTGGAGATCAGCAACATCGTCTTCACCAGCATGTTTGCCCTGGAGATGCTGCTGAAGCTGCTGGCGTGCGGCCCGCTGGGTTACATCCGGAACCCCTACAACATCTTCGACGGCATCATCGTGGTCATCAGGTGCGCCCAGGGCCTGGGAAGCTGGGCTTGGGTGGAGACCTCACCTGATTCCTGCATGCTAGGCTGACTAGAGGCCACTCTGGTTCTGGGCTGGTGACGCTGGCCCCAGGGCCAGGCCCGGTCCCCCCCAGCTCACGGCAGGAACTCTGGCCCGCAGCGTGTGGGAGATCGTGGGGCAGGCGGACGGCGGGCTGTCGGTGCTGCGCACTTTCCGGCTCCTGCGGGTGCTGAAGCTGGTGCGCTTCCTGCCTGCGCTGCGGCGCCAGCTTGTGGTGCTCATGAAGACCATGGACAACGTGGCCACCTTCTGCATGCTGCTCATGCTCTTCATCTTCATCTTCAGGTGCGCTCTGCGGGCGCGGCGGGATGGGGCGGGGTGCAGCCCTCGGCCTGGGGCGGCCGGGAGGCGGGGAAGGGAGCAGAGGCCCGCCGCAGCCCTGCATGGTCCCCGGAGGTCGCCTGCTGTGGCTCTCATGAGCGTCCCCATGCACCGGGGGCACTGATGGATGGGCTCTGGTGGGTTCACAGAGGCAGGGTGGAGACGGAGAGCCCCTCAGACAGACAGACAGACATAGACTGAGGACAGGGCCTGGGTCCCAGCGGAGCTCCCGAGCACACCCTGTGCTCTAGCTGGGCCCGGCGAGGGTGGTAGGAGGATGGGCAGACCGAGAAGGGCATCCCAGCACGGACGGCTGCCCGGAGCCAGGTGGCCTCCAGTTGTGCCACCCCTCAGCAGGAGAGCCCCTGCAGCCCTGGGGCCCGTCAGTGCTTACAGAGCGCGGGGGTGGGGCGGAGGGGAGGCACTCCAGCCGGGGAGGGCCCCCCCTGCTCAGTGCCCGCCCCCTGCAGCATCCTGGGCATGCACCTCTTTGGCTGCAAATTCAGCCTGAAGACAGACACGGGAGACACCGTCCCCGACAGGAAGAACTTTGACTCTTTGCTGTGGGCCATCGTCACTGTGTTCCAGGTAGGAGGCACACAGGATGGCCACCCAAGGAGCTGGGGGGGGGCGGCTGTGGGGCCGGGGGTGACCAGGGCGTCCTCATGGGCCGGGCCCACAGATCCTGACGCAGGAGGATTGGAACGTGGTGCTCTACAACGGCATGGCCTCCACCTCGTCCTGGGCCGCCCTCTACTTCGTGGCGCTCATGACCTTCGGCAACTATGTGCTCTTCAACCTGCTGGTGGCCATCCTGGTGGAGGGGTTCCAGGCAGAGGTGAGGGGCGGGGAGCTGCAGGGCTGGGCCCCTCCACGCACCCACCCCTGCTCCGCCCGCTCCTGAGGCAGAGGGTCCCACACTGGAGCCTCACGCTGCCTCTGCCACCTGGGTGCAGGGGGACGCCACCAGATCCGACACCGATGAAGACAAGACATCTGCTCACTTTGAGGAAGACTTGGACAAGTTCAGAGACCTGCGGGCCACAGGTCTGTGTGTGGGCGATGGGTGGGCGGGGCTTGCAGGAGGGCCCACCCACTCCCTGGATGATGGATGGGAGGAGCTTGCAGGAGGACCCCCTTTCACTCCCAGAGTGGGTGATGGGTGGGGGGGCTTGCAGGAGGACCCTCTCCCCGCTCCTGGAGCCTTGAAGGCTCAAGGACTCAACTACCACCAGAGATGAAGACATACTCGCTGGCAGTGACCCCCAATGGGCACCTGGAAGGCCGGGGCAGCCTGCCCCCACCCCTCATCATGCACACGGCCGCCACGCCCATGCCCACTCCTAAGAGCTCCCCACACCTGGACGCGGCCCACGGCCTTGTGGACTCACGGCGTGGCAGCAGCAGCTCCATGGACCCTCAGCTCGGGGACCAGAAGTCTCTGGTAGGCACCGTCCCTGGGCCTAAGATGCCCACCGTGACATAGATCAGCGCTGGGGCCTGGAGCTGGAGGCCTTAGCCGCCGCTCTTGGTCAGCTTTTCCACCCGACCAGCCCGTCAGAGCCTCCAGGGTCTCCAGACAAACAAACCACAGGCAGGGCTCGGCCGTGGCGCGGCCGCCCCGGCTCCCGGAAGCCTAAGGCCCAGTGTGGGTGGGCGGAGGCCTGGGCAGGGACACCAGGGCGCTCGGGGAAGGCCACACACCCCTGAGAGACAGCGCGTCCCGGGCCGGCGTTCCCACCAGTGCCGGCACCTTGGGGAGGTGGGCGGAGACGACCCAAGGAGCGAGGCAGTGCGCAGCCGCCACCCCTGGGTCCGGCCCACTTTGTGTCCTGAGACGGCAGCTTACCGCTCCCTGCCAGTCCACGGGCTGAAATCATCGCCGCCAGGCGCTGGCTGGGTGAGCCTCCCGCCGCGCCAGGCGTGGGCCAGCTCACGCGGCAGGCAGTGTCCCCTCCCGGCCAGGGGGGTGACCCCCACGCCAGCGCAGCGACGGCCATGGGCCCCGATCAAGGCTCCTTGGGCCCGGAAGCCGCGGGGGGCGCGGGCCGGTGCCAGCCCGCTCACTCTCCCCCCGCAGGCCAGCCACCGCAGCTCCCCCTGCACCCCCTGGGGCCCCGGCAGCGCCTGGAGCAGCCGGCGCTCGAGCTGGAACAGCCTGGGCCGTGCGCCCAGCCTCAAGCGCCGCAGCCAGAGCGGGGAGCGCGAGTCCCTGCTGTCGGGAGAGGGCAAAGGCAGCACCGACGACGAGGCGGAGGGCGGCAGGCCGGGGCCCGGCCGCCCAGGCTCCCCGCGCGGCTCCCCGCCGCGCCGGGCCGCCTCCCTGGACCGCCGCAGCACGCCGGACCTGAGGCCCCCCCGGCCAGCCGCCCTCCTGCCCGCCAGATTCCAGGACTGCAACGGGCAGACGGTGGCCCTTCCCAGCGAGTTCTTCCTGCGCATCGACAGCCACAAGGAGGACGCCTCGGAGTTCGATGACGACGTGGAAGACGTGAGTGGCGGGGAGCGGGAGGCGGACCCACGCCTGGCCCCCCGGGGCCCAGGAGGCAGGGAGAGCTCGGACAGGCCCCGGAGGCCTCTGGCCTCAGCCAGTCCCAGAGCTGCTCCTGAGCTCCCTGTTCTGATGAGTGCTGCAGGAGAGCAGGGGAAGCGTTCTCTGGGAGGGTGTGGACCCCAGCAGGGGGGCGAGGCTGGCCGGCAGGGCGGCACGTGGCAGGAGGGCAGGGCACGCGGTGTGAGACGGGACCGGCTGACGCCACCTCCCCTTCCTCCAGAGCTGCTGCTTCCGCCTGCACAAGGTGCTGGAGCCCTACACCCCCCAGTGGTGCCGTAGCCACGAGACCTGGGCCCTGTACCTCTTCTCCCCACATAACAGGTGAGATGCCAGGTCCCACCCGCCACCGGGAGGGGCGGGCACGCCCTGGGGCCGCTCCCAGCATGCCCCCCACTTCCCGGCCGTCCCCAGGCTGCGCGTCTCCTGCCAGAAGGTCATCGCGCACAAGATGTTTGACCACGTGGTCCTCGTCTTCATCTTCCTCAACTGCATCACCATCGCCCTGGAGAGGCCGGACATCGACCCCGGCAGCACCGTGAGCCCCGCGGCAGGGGCCGCCCCGGGGGTCGGGGGGACGCCAGGCCGGACGGACAGCCCTCCCCACCACACGGCTTCCCTCCCTGCAGGAACGGGCCTTCCTCAGCGTCTCCAACTACATCTTCACAGCCATCTTTGTGACAGAAATGATGGTGAAGGTACATACGTGACCCGTATGTATGGGGGCCCCAGCACACCTGCACACGCTCCCCGAGACACAGCCCCACGGGGTCCTCAGCACGCCTGCACACGCTCCCCGAGACAGCCCCACGGGGCCCCAGCATGCCCAGACCCCAGGACCCCCAGCATGCCTGCACACGTTCCCCGAGACACAGCCCCACGGGGACCCCAGCACGCCTGCACACGCTCCCCGACACAGCCCCACGAGGCCCCAGCATGCCCAGACCCCAGGACCCCCAGCATGCCTGCACACGCTCCCCGACACAGCCCACGAGGCCCCAGCACGCCTGCACACGCTCCCCAGGACACAGCCCCACGGGGCCCCAGGACACCTGCACACGCTCCCCGACACACAGCCCCACGAGGCCCCAGCACGCCTGCACACGCTCCCCAGGACACACAGCCCCACGGGGCCCCAGCACGCCTGCACACGCTCCCCAGGACACAGCCCCACGGGGCCCAGCACGCCTGCACACGCTCCCCAGGACATAGCCCCACGGGGCCCCAGCACGCCTGCACACGCTCCCCAGGACACAGCCCCACGGGGCCCCAGCACGCCTGCACACGCTCCCCAGGACACAGCCCCACGGGGCCCCAGCACGCCTGCACACGCTCCCCAGGACACAGCCCCACGGGGGCCCAGCACGCCTGCACACGCTCCCCGACACAGCCCCACGGGGGCCCCAGCACGCCTGCACACGCTCCCCGGGACACAGCCCCACGAGGCCCCCAGCACGCCTGCACACGCTCCCCAGGACACAGCCCCACGAGGCCCCAGCACGCCCAGACCCCAGTACCCCCAGCACGCCTGCACACGCTCCCCAGGACACAGCCCCACGGGACCCCAGCACGCCTGCACACGCTCCCCGGGACACAGCCCCACGGGGGCCCAGCACACCCAGACCCCAGGACCCCCAGCATGCCTACACACGCTCCCTGACATAGCCCCACGGGGGCCCAGCACGCCTGCACACGCTCCCCAGGACACAGCCCCACGAGGCCCCCAGCACACCTGCACACGCTCCCCAGGACACAGCCCCACGAGGCCCCAGCACGCCCAGACCCCAGTACCCCCAGCATGCCTGCACACGCTCCCCAGGACACAGCCCCACGGGGGCCAAGCACGCCTGCACACGCTCCCCAGGACACAGCCCCACGGGGCCCCAGCACGCCCAGACCCCAGTACCCCCAGCACGCCTGCACACGCTCCCCAGGACACAGCCCCACGGGGGCCAAGCACGCCTGCACACGCTCCCTGACACACAGCCCCACGAGGCCCCAGCACGCCTGCACACGCTCCCCAGGACACAGCCCCACGGGGCCCCAGCACGCCTGCACACGCTCCCCGACACAGCCCCACGGGGCCCCAGCACGCCTGCACACACTCCCCGACACAGCCCCACGGGGCCCCAGCACGCCTGCACACGCTCCCCGACACAGCCCCACGGGGGCCCAGCACGCCTGCACACGCTCCCAGACACAGCCCCACGGGGCCCCAGCACGCCTGCACACGCTCCCCGACACAGCCCCACGGGGCCCCAGCACGCCTGCACACGCTCTCCGACACACAGCCCCACGGGGCCCAGCACGCCTACACACGCTCCCCAGGACACAGCCCCACGGGGCCCCAGCACGCCTGCACACGCTCCCCAGGACACAGCCCCACGGGGCCCCAGCACGCCTGCACACGCTCCCCAAGACACAGCCCCACGGGGTCCCAGGATGCCTGAACACGCTCCCCAGGACACAGCCCCACGGGGCCCCAGCACGCCTGCACACGCTCCCCAACACAGCCGCACGGGGCCCAGCACGCCTGCACACGCTCCCCGAGACACAGCCCCACGGGGTCCCAGCACGCCTGCACACGCTCCCCAAGACACAGCCCCACGGGGTCCCAGCACGCCTGCACACGCTCCCCAGGACACAGCCCCACGGGGCCCCAGCACGCCTGCACGCCTGCACACGCTCCCCAGGACACAGCCCCACGAGGACCCCAGCACGCCTGCACACGCTCCCCGACAGCCCCACGGGGGCCCCAGCACGCCTGCACACGCTCCCCGACACAGCCCCACGGGGCCCCAGCACGCCTGCACACGCTCCCCGAGACACAGCCCCACGGGCCCCCAGCACGCCTGCACACGCTCCCCAGGACACAGCCCCACGGGGACCCAGCACGCCTGCACACGCTCCCCGACACACAGCCCCACGGGAGCCCCAGCACACCTGCACACGCTCCCCGAGACACAGCCCCACAGGGTCCCAGCACGCCTGCACACGCTCCCCGACACACAGCCCCATGGGGACCCAGCACGCCTGCACACGCTCCCCAACACAGCCCCACGGGGACCCAGCACGCCTGCACACGCTCCCCAGGACACAGCCCCACGGGGCCCCAGCACGCCTGCACACGCTCCCCAAGACACAGCCCCACAAGGACCCAGCAAGCCTGCACACGCTCCCCGAGACACAGCCCCACGGGACCCCAGCACGCCTGCACACGCTCCCCGACACAGCCCCACGGGGCCCCAGCATGCCTGCACACGCTCCCCGACACAGCCCCACGGGGACCCAGCACGCCTGCACACGCTCCCCAGGACACAGCCCCACGGGGTCCCCAACATGCCCAGACCCCAGGACCCCCAGCACGCCTGCACACGCTCCCCGAGACACAGCCCCTCGGGGGCTCCAGTACGCCCAGACCCCAGTACCCCCAGCATACCTACACACGCTCCCCAACACAGCCGCACGGGCCCCCAGCGCGCCTGCACACGCTCCCTGCAGGTGGTGGCCCAGGGCCTGCTGTGGGGTGATCACGCCTACCTGCAGAGCAGCTGGAATGTGCTGGACGGGCTGCTGGTTCTGGTGTCCCTGGTAGACATCGTCGTGGCCATGGCCTCGGCCGGTGGCGCGAAGATCCTGGGCATCCTGCGCGTGCTGCGTCTGCTTCGGACCCTGCGCCCTCTGAGGTGGGAGCAGGGGCAGCGGGCGGGTGACCCTCCGCCCACCTGGCAGCTCTCAGGCCACCCGCCCTCGGCCCGGCGGCCAGTCCACGGCGTGCACCCAGCGGCCTGCCCCCTCTGCCCGGTCCAGGGTCATCAGCCGGGCCCCGGGCCTCAAGCTGGTGGTGGAAACGCTGATCTCGTCGCTCAGGCCCATCGGCAACATCGTGCTCATCTGCTGTGCCTTCTTCATCATCTTCGGCATTCTGGGCGTGCAGGTGTGTGGCCTACTGGCCTGGAGTGGTGGGAAGGCACGTGGGGTGGTCCGGGGCCAGGCCCCAGGTGATAGCCCCACCTTCCAGCTCTTCAAGGGCAAGTTCTACTACTGCGAGGGTGCGGACACCAGAAACATCTCCACCAAGGCCGAGTGCCGGGCTGCGCACTACCGCTGGGTGCGGCGCAAGTACAACTTCGACAACCTGGGCCAGGTGGGTGCGGGGGGGGGGGGCCCGTGGGGGCATCTGGAGGCCTGAGGGCTCGCGCACGCGGCCCCCCACCGCGTGGGTGACCTGCCCTACCCCTGCCCGCAGGCGCTGATGTCCCTTTTCGTGCTGTCCTCCAAGGACGGCTGGGTGAACATCATGTACGACGGGCTGGACGCCGTTGGCGTCGACCAGCAGGTGCGCATGGTGAGGGTGGCCGCCACCCGGAGTGCGTCTGGGGCCCTGGGACCTGGCCCTCCCTGGGACCTGGGCCACCCGGTGCGCGTCTGGGGCCTGGCCAGCCGGATCACCCCCGGGACCCGGGCCAGCCAGGTCACCCCTGGGACCTGGCCCTCCCCGGGACCTGGCCCGCCGTGGGCACGGTGCCCGGACAGGTGGGGACCCACCGCTTTGTCGCCCAGCCCGTACAGAACCACAACCCCTGGATGCTGCTCTACTTCATCTCCTTCCTGCTCATCGTCAGCTTCTTCGTGCTCAACATGTTCGTGGGGGTGGTGGTGGAGAACTTCCACAAGTGCCGGCAGCACCAGGAGGCGGAGGAGGCGCGCCGGAGGGAGGAGAAGCGTCTGCGGCGCCTGGCGCGGCGGCGCAGGAGTAAGGAGGCGGGGGCGGGGGGCGGGAGGGACCGCAGCTCCCCTGCGGTGGCCAGCCATGGCTCAGGGACGCCGTGTAGGCCCAGCCACCTGGCCTGCGGGTCCCACATGGACACCCTGGCCCATGGGCCAGGCCCCGTGGACACTGGGGCCATGTCCCAGGCCTGCAGCCGAGTCCGAATGGCTCTGCACACGGCCACCTTCCGCAGAGGTCTCGGCAGAGGGGACGGCGGCAGGCAGCCAGGGTGTCCAGGAGGCTGGAGGCAGGGCTCCCCCAAGGGCCCCAGGAGCCAGATGGGACCTCCACCCCAGACTCCCTCCCGTGTGTGAGGGCCAGGTCCCCGCCCCACAGGACCAGGGGTTGCCGCTTGGGAGCAGGGGGGCTGCTACACAGGCCCTGGGGAGCCCGGGCGGCCGCTCAGACATCTCCTTGTCTTTCCAGGCACTTTCCCCAACCCAGGTACCTGCCCCATCCCGCATCGCATGCTCGGCCACCGCTGCCACCGCGGGGAAGGGTGGGCGCGGGTGCCAGGGCTGTGGGCCCCGCGCGCAGGAGGAGGGCTGTGGCTTGCCGCGTGGTCCCTTGCCGCTCATGCCTGTCCCCCGCCCCGTGCCGGCTGCGTGCTCGCTCCCCGCCATGCTCAGGGGAGCCCCCCCCCCGCTCCTGCAGCCCGAGGCAGCCCCACATCCGTGGTGACCTCTGGTGGCCTGGCTGGCCCGAGCTCCCCAGCGGCTGCATGCTGGACGGGGGCGCATGGGGGGGCTGGCATCTGCTCCCACCCTCCCGGCGGGGTGCATGGTTCTGTGGCTGAGGTGGTCCCGGGTGTGGGATGCGCTCTGCGCGCTGTGGCTCTGGCGTATGCGCATGCCGGGCAGCGCCCGCAAGGCTCCACGCCCGAGGCCCCCAGGGGGCTCCAGTGGCCCCGCGGGGGACAAGGAAGGGCCGACCTGGGGGCCAGCAGGGCCCAGACTGGGAGATAGAAGAAGGGTCGCTCTGCCTCATCAGCAAAGTGTTTGAATCCTCATAACGGCCCAGGGCAGACGCAGAGCCAGCCCTCCGGCCGTCCAGCCTTGAGGCCCAGGAAGGCGGGGTCTAAGTGAGGGCTCGGGTGGATGGAGAGGCCGCGGCTGCCGCCACACCCTTCCTGAAACCCAAGGCCCCACCATCCAGGAGACCAACCTGGCCGCAGGGGCCGGGGCTGGCAGGGCCCTGGAGCTGCCCGGGGGGCTGCGCGGGACCGGGTGGGCCGGGCTGCCTGTGCCCCGCCCCCGCGTGCGTGCGTGCAGGGGCTCCCCGGCGGCAGGCGCAGGCAGCCCTTGCCACGCTCACCAGCCCCCTCCCCGCAGAGGCCCAGCGCCGGCCCTACTACGCCGACTACTGCCACACACGCCGCTCCGTCCACGCGCTGTGCACCAGCCACTACCTGGACCTGTTCATCACCTTCGTCATCAGCCTCAACGTCATCTCCATGTCCATGGAGCACTACAACCAGCCCAAGGTGGGCGCTGGGGCGGGGAGAGGGGAGGGCGGGCTGGGGGGGCAGGGAGAGGGGAGGGCGGGCGGGGGGGGCAGGGGCCCGGGCGGGGGGGCTGGGACCCCGCCCGGGCCCCTGCTGGGAAGCCCTGCAGCCCCACAGAGCACTGGCCACCGCTGTCCACAGGGAGGGACCCGCTGCATCCCAGAGGTCCCGGCACGCCCCCATCTCCATCCTGCCCGTCTGCCCCTTGACGGCAGGATTCGGGCCGAGTGCGGTGGGCAGCACTGTCCTCTCCCGCCCCTCCCAGGGAAGCGGGGGCAGACCTCCCCAGGCCTGTCACTGCGGGAGGCCTTGCGTGCGTGGGACGGGAGGGGGTCACGGCCTAACCAGCCTGCCCCCCGCCAGTCCCTGGACGAGGCGCTCAAGTACTGCAACTACGTGTTCACCATCGTCTTCGTCTTCGAGGCCGCGCTGAAGCTGGTGGCCTTCGGCTTCCGGCGGTTCTTCAAGGACAGGTGTGTGGGTTCGGGGGAGGGGGGAGCGGGGGGGGCCGGGGGAGGACGGCCGGGGGGGCCTGGGCGGAGCCCTGGGCTGGCGGCCGGCTGAGCCACACCCCTGCTGGGCAGGTGGAACCAGCTGGACCTGGCCATCGTCCTGCTGTCTATCATGGGCATCGTGCTGGAGGAGATCGAGATGAACGCCGCGTTGCCCATCAACCCCACCATCATCCGCATCATGCGCGTGCTGCGCATTGCCCGTGGTAGGCCAGCGTCCCGAGGGGCCGGGGGGAGCAAGCGGGGGTCTCAGGGCGGCCCGGGAGAGGCCGTAGGTGGGTTCTGTCCTGAGACTGTGTCTGAGGCGTCCCTGGCTGGAGGTCCCCCGGTGTCCAGGTGGGAGCGGCGGGACCAGGGGCAGGGCCTCCGCACGGGGGAAAGGTCAGCCTGGCTACACTAACGCCCAGCTCCCGGCTCTAGTCCTGAAGCTGCTTAAGATGGCCACGGGCATGCGGGCCCTGCTGGACACGGTGGTTCAAGCCCTTCCCCAGGTAGGTTGTGATTCGGCACTGCCGAAGCAGGGCACCCAAGCCCGCAGAGGACAGCGCCGCAGCCGGGTCCGCTCCGCCCTCCCCTCCCCCACCGCCCACGGCCCCGGCCGTGCCCTGCTGCCAGCCTGCCACTGGAGCTCACGCCCGGGAGCGGGCGGCCGCGTGGAGCGGGCACAGAGGGCAGGACAAAGGGCGGAGGTTGTGGACGGAGTGGACAGGACTTGCAGCCTCAGTCCAGCCTCTGGGCAGGAGAGAGACCGTCCCCGACCCAGCTGCACACCTGGGACGCAAAGTAGGAGGTCGGGCCGGAGCCAAGAGGCCAAAGCAGGACTCGGGCCCGGCACCCTGCTTTCTGTCCTTCTACCCTGACCCCATGACCAGTCCCTCTGTGTCCCCCCACCCGTCCCCCACCTCAGTCCACCCCACCACCCCCACGCCTGCCCAAGCCCCGCCCCTTCCTGCTCTCTGATCCCCTGACCGTGACCCCCACCTCCAGGGCATCACACACACCCGCCGGCCCTCAGCCACCAGTTCATGCACTGACCGTTGAGTGACGTCCTGGGTGCTGCTTGTCCATCCAGGATCAGGCCTGGGGACTGGCAGAGGCCTGGAGCAGACCTGGGCTTGGTGCCCGTGAGTGCTGAGTCGCCGGGCAAGGCCTCTGTCCACTGAGGGCCTGCCCAGGGTCTGCCTCATCTGCAGTGTTCCCTCCAGAGTCACAGGACTTGAAGGGACAGGCTGTGTCCTTCCCTGCCCCACGGTGCCTAGGCTGGGGTGGCAGGGTCTCCGAGGGGGCCCGAGCGCCTGCTGACCTAGCTCTGCTTCTCTCCTGTGTAGGTAGGGAACCTTGGCCTTCTTTTTATGCTCCTGTTTTTTATCTATGCTGCGCTGGGAGTGGAGCTGTTCGGGAGGCTGGGTGAGTGGCCGCAGTGCACACGTGCCGGGCCTTCCAGGGTCGTCCGCCGGCCACAGACTGCCGCAGGGCGTGGGCAGGCCGGGCAGGCCGGGCCTCAGGGTCCTCCGCAGCCTGTGCCTCCGGAAGCTGGTGCCTCACAGCAGGCGGGGGCCGGGCAGAGACGCACCCATGTCCACCTGGCTGGCCCTGCACGCCCCTCCACACCCCAGTAGGCAGGCCGGGCACGGTCCGGGGCTCGGCCTGCTCCCTAAGCACGCGCCGCACAGAGCCCCCTGGTCCTCGTGAGACAGGTGCCCTCTCGGCGGCATCCCAGTGGCCGCAGCAGATGGCACGTGGCAGACATGCCCAGCTTGGCCCCAGACCTCGGCCAGGAGGGGGGTCGTGCCGGGAGGGGGCCTTTTGGAGGGCTCGGGGGTCGGGGTCGTATAAGGACCGGGGCTCGCGGCACCCCAGCCCGGCTGCCTCGTCCAGCGCGGGCAGCCCCGGTCGGGCTGACCGGCCGCCGGCTCCCTGCAGAGTGCAGCGAGGACAACCCCTGCGAGGGCCTGAGCAGGCACGCCACCTTCACCAACTTCGGCATGGCCTTCCTCACGCTGTTCCGCGTGTCCACGGGGGACAACTGGAACGGGATCATGAAGGTGAGGTGGCTGGGGACCAGGGATGGGTGGGGCGGCCGGAGGGGTGGGCGGGGCCAGGGGCGGGGCCGAGGGGCGGGGCCGAGGGGTGGGCGGGGCCGAGGGGCGGGGCCGAGGGGTGGGCGGGGCTGAGGGGTGGGTGGGGCGGGGCCGAGGGGTGGGGCGGGGCTGAGGGGTGGGTGGGGCGGGGGCTGAGGGGTGGTGGGCGGGGCCGAGGGCGGTGGGCGGGGCTGAGGGGGCGGGGCGGGACCAGGGGTGGGTGGGGCGGCCCGAGGGGTGGGAGGGGCCGAGGGGATGGGGCGGGGCTGAGGGGTGGGGAGGGGCGGGGCGGGGCCGAGGGGCAGGGCGGGGCTGAGGGGCGGTGGGCAGGGTTGAGGGGGCGGGGCCGAGGGGGGCCGGTGGGCGGGGCCGGTGGGCGGGGCTGAGGGGCGGTGGGCGGGGCCGAGGGGCAGTGGACAGGGTTGAGGGGGCGGGGCCGAGGGGCGGGGCGGGGCCGAGGGGCCCGGCAGGCCCCAGCGGGCAGCCTGAGCCCTGCCACCCACCCCCAGGACACGCTGCGGGAGTGCTCCCGGGAGGACAGGCACTGTCTCAGCTACCTGCCGGCGCTGTCTCCCGTCTACTTTGTCACCTTCGTGCTGGTGGCGCAGTTCGTGCTGGTCAACGTGGTGGTGGCCGTGCTCATGAAACACCTGGAGGAGAACAACAAGGAGGCCCGGGAGGCGGCGGAGGCCGACGCGGAGGCCGAGGCCGAGCTGGAGCTGGCCACGGCGCAGGGGCCCCTGCCCGCGCCCCCACCGCCAGCGCAGGTCAGGCCGGGAGCGGCTGCAGGGGGTTCCGAGGGTGCCGTGGGCGACGCGGACAGCCTCCTCCTCCCGCCACAGGACGGCCCAGACTCCGGGCCAGGCGCCTCGGGTCCAGCCGTGCGCAAGGTGTCGGTGTCCAGAATGCTCTCGCTGCCCAACGACAGCTACATGTTCCGGCCCGTGGTGCCCGCCACAGCCCCCCACGCGCACCCGCTGCCGGAGGTGGAGGTGGAGGCCGATGCAGGCCGCAGGCCCTCAGGTGCGGGCTGGGCAAGGGGGTGAGGGTGGGCAGCCGGAGGGAGGGAGGGAGGGAGGGTGTGGAAGGGAGGGAGGGAGGGTGTGGAAGGGAGGGAGGGAGGGGGGTCCTGGGAGGGAAGATGGGTGTGGGGGAGAGGGTGGGTGTGGGAGGGAGGGTGGGCCGTGGGAGGGAGGGAGGGTGGGTGTGAGAGGGAGGGTGGGTGTGGGAGGGAGGGAGGGTGGGCCTCGGGAGGGAGGGAGGGCGGGCTGCCCCACGGCCCCACGCATCCCCATCCCAGGCCAGGCCGCTACCACACACTCGCCGGCCCTGGAGCCCCGCGCCTCCCTTCCGGTCCCATCCACCCCGTCCTCCCCAGCCAGGAGCGGTGACCCCCTGTGCGCCTGCTCCCCCCGGGGCGCGGCCCGGTCCCCCAGCCTTGGCCGTGTGCTCTGCAGACAGGTAAGGGCAGCCCCTCCCGCGGGCCTGGGAGCTGGGGGGGGGGGGGGGGCGTGTGGCGGGTGATCAAGAGCGAGCCCCGGGAGAGCAGCACTGCGTCCTCAGAGCTCAGAATCTTCCATCTGCCGTTGGTGAGCCTCGGTACGAGCTGGGTGCTCGGGACAGCACTGGGGCCGGGCCGCGGCGCTGGCCCACAGTGGCCAGCGTGTGGGCGCCTGGATCTCTGCTGCGCACAGACCGCCCCGCCTGGCCCCACCTGCTGCCCAGCGCAGGGTCCCCCACCATCCCTGCCAGCCAGCCTGGCTATGGGCTCAAGGGTGGACAGCTGGCTGTTCTTGGAGTGCCTGGGGGCCTCACCAGGCTCTGCCCACAGGAGCACGACGGTGTACGCTGCGTGCCCTGGCGGGCAGACGTGAGCATGTCTGCGGAGGCCTCACTGCAGTCAGGAAGGCCAGGGGCTGGGGTGTCCATCCCGGCCAGCCTGGAGGACAGGGCGCAGCTGAGAGGGGCTGTGGCCGCTGGAAGGGCCGGGCCTCCCCTGACCTCGTGTTTGCAGGAGGCTCTGCACCCTGAGCCCCTGGAGGTGCAAGCTGACGGCTCTGGGGACAGCGTCCCGGGCCCCGCAGAGCCTGAGGAGAAGACCCCAAGGAGGCAGGCGCGGCTGGCGGGCCCGCCGCGGTCCCCGCCCCGCTCCCCGCGGCCGGCCTGCGTGCACACCCGCAAGCACGTCTTGGGGCAGCGCTGCGTCTCCGGCCAGCCGCCGGCCCCGGGTGAGGAGGAGGCCGACGCCGCTGACCCAGCCGACGAGGAAGTCAGCCACATCACCAGCTCCGCGCAGCCCTGGCCCTGCGCCGGGCCCCACAGCCCCGGGGCCTCGCCCCGGGCCTCCCCGGCATCCTGCGGGGCGGTGGGCGGCGGGCAGGATCTGCGCCGGTTCCGAAGCGTGGACGGCCAGGGCTTCCTGGACGCGCCGGGCCGGGCAGACACACAGAGGTGGCCGTCCATGGAGCTGGGCGTTGGGGACAGCCACCTGGACCCCGGAGAGGCCAGGGGCCGGGCTCCCGAGCTGGAGCCCGCGCAGGGGCCACGCAGGAAGAAGAAGATGAGCCCCCCCTGCATCTCCGTGGACCCCCCCACGGAGGACGAGGGCCCCGCCCGGCCCCCGGCACCAGAGGGCGGCAGCACCACCCTGCGGCGCCGAACCCCGTCCTGTGAGGCCCACAGGGACTGCGCGGAGCCGGCCGAGGGCCCCAGCACCGGGGGCGACCCCGCGGCCAAGGGGGAGCGGCGGGCCCCGGCCCCCTGCCGGGCCGAGCACCTGGCTGTGCCCACCTTCACCTTTGAGCCGCTGGACGTGGGGGGCTCCGGGGGAGACCCGTTCTTGGACAGTGGCCGCAGTGTGACCCCGGGGCCCCGAGGGCCTCCGGCTGTTCACGAAGCAGAGCCACCCGTGACCCCCAGCGGTGCCCTGGAGAAGAGCCAGGGGCTGTACCTCACGGTTCCCCAGGCCCCGGCCCCCGCGGACGTCCCGGCCGAGCCTGTGTAGCCGGGGCCTGGCGCACACCGCTTCACCAGGGATGGGGCTCCCGGGCAGCGGCCTCAGGTGAGGCCGTGGTGAGCCCCACAGGGCAGAGGGGCCACGGAGGACGCCAGCCCCGGGCCGGGCACCGGCCCCGCGGGCGGCAGGCAGCCCCTCCCGCACCCGCCAGGTGGATCCAGTGTAGGTTTTCCTAAGTTTTGCCGCCACTGCGGGCATGGTGCTGGGGCCAGGCCAGCAGCCCGGGACTGGAAAGGACCGGAAACACCACCGCAGCCCAGCCGCCTTCACAGGGAGCACACACCGGGGCGGTGGGCAGACGCCGCGCCCCAGGCCGCAGCCAGTCACCGCCGCTCACAGTATGACCCTCGGCGCGCCCCTCCCATGCCGGGCACACCCACCCACCCCACCCCTGCCGGTCCATCCACTTGGGTATTCCAGAAACATCCCAGTGAGTCTGGGAACGGCCGTGTCACAGGGAGGCGTACCCACGCAATAAGACACCCCAGCCTCCCTCCACCTCCGTTGATTCCCTCTGTTCTGTTTTTTATAAATTCAGGTTAAATGTTGCAATAATCTGATGCAGGAATCTCAGCTTTTTAAGGGGGACGGGGAGGAAGGAGGCAGAGCAGAATAAATACTAACTTATTTAAGAAATGCGCTGGATTGCAGGATCGGGGTTCGGGGGTCCCCGGCCGGGCAGGGCGGGAGCCGAGCCAGGCTCTGCGGCCAGCACTCGGGAGGCAAGCGCAGGGCAGCAGGAGGAGGCCAGAGCGCAGGCCTGGGGGCTCTAACCCGAAGACCCGTGTCTGGGTGTGGCAGTTCACTCGGACAGCGCGGTGTCCAGGCTGGCCATGCCAGCCTGCAGCCAGGCCCTCCGGAGCCCACGGTGCGGGGAGGACGCCCCGGGGACAGGGGCCCTGGGCTCCCCAACCCGCTCCGCCTGGCCCCTCGCCCAGGAGGCACGCGGGTTTCTGGCAGGGCATGCAGCCATCCCAGCCAGGGCGGCCCCGTGTGGAGACCCGTCCTGCCCCAGGGGGCCTGGACGGCCACCACACAGGCCCAGACTCCCTGCCCCAGCGGACACTCGGGGGTCAGACACGGGGGCCGGTGCGGGGTTGGCTTTGAAGACCATCAGCTCGGCAAGTGCGGGGGGGGGGGCAAGCTCCAGGCCTCCCAAGTGCTATCGAGCCCCCCTCTCTGTGAGTGCCTCCGGGAACACCGCCGCTGCTCCTCCTCACCCCAGTGTCACCACGCACCTCCTCCCCCTCCCCCCGTCACCACGCGCCCCCTCCCCCCACCACACACCCCCCTCCCCCGTCACCACGCACCCCCTCCCCCCACCACGCATCCCCCTCCCCCCGTCACCACGCACCCCCTCCCCCCCACCATGCACCCCCTCCCCCTCCCCTGTCACCACGCACCTCCCCCTCCCCCCACCACGCACCTCCTCCCCCTCCCCCTCCCCCGTCACCACGCACCCCCTCCCCCCACCACGCACCTCCCTCCCCCTCCCCCGTCACCACACACCCCCTCCCCCGTCACCACGCACCTCCTCCCCCGTCACCACGCACCCCCTCCCCCTCCCCCCGTCACCACGCACCTCCTCCCCCTCCCTCCGTCACCACGCACCCCCTCCCCCTCCCCCCCTCACCACTCACCTCCTCCCCCTCCCCCCGTCACCACGCACCTCCCCCCCACCACGCACCCCCTCCCCCCGTCACCACGCACCTCCTCCCCCTCCCCCCGTCACCACGCACCTCCCCCCCACCACGCACCCCCTCCCCCTCCCCCGTCACCATGCACCCCCTCCCCCCGTCACCACGCACCTCCCCCCCTGTCACCACACACCCCCTCCCCCCCTCCCCCGTCACCACGCACCTCCCCCTCTCCCCAGTCACCACGCACCCCCTCCCCCTCCCCCTCCCCCCGTCACCACGCACCCCCTCCCCCCACCACGCACCCCCTCCCCCTCCCCCGTCACCACGCACCCCCTCCCCCCACCACGCACCCCCTCCCCCTCCCCCGTCACCACGCACCCCCTCCCCCCACCACGCACCCCCTCCCCCTCCCCCCGTCACCACACACCTCCCCCCATCCCCCCCCCCCCCCCCGCGTCACCATGCACCGTGTCTTAGGGCAGGAGCCAGTCAAGGCCTCTGGGAGGCAGAAGGGCAGAATCATCTAGAAAAGATCCCCGGGCTGGGCTGCACCGGGGTGATATCCACACTGTGGGGGCCGACAGTCAGGATGACCCCACTCCCAGAAGTGGGGACACCGTGGCCGCTCTCCTAGATGAGTTCAGGGGCCTGGAGAAGGGGTGAGGGCGGCCACCAGTGACCAGCTGCAGGGTCGCACGCACACACGCCAGGGCCCGGCGCCTCGCGGCGTGAGGTACGGAAGAGCCGGGCCGGCCCGGGGAATGTGGGAGCCCCAGCCCCTGCCGCCCCTGGAGACGTCCAGCAGGGCAGAACTGCAGACACTCGAACCCACACCCAGTCGGGAGGTGTTTCCTCTGTGGGAGCTGTGCGGCTGCAATCCAGCCAGGTTTAGCAATGCTCTGAGGCCAGCGTTGGCCAGTGCCAGTGTGTCCCTGGTTCAAGGCCGGCCAGAGCACCAGCACCGTCCCCTGTAAGACAGGCTGCTAACGTCATCCTCCCCACACCGCCAGCCCCGGTGTAAGGGTTTGAACTCGGGGCCTGGCGGAAGCTGCTGGGCGGGCCTGGCCCTTCCCGCCCGTGTGGAGCCAACAGCGGCTCTTAGCAGCCTGGGTGGAGCTGCTCTGATCTGGGATCTGATAGATCAGCCCTGGGTCTCTGCCCCACCACCCGCTTCCCCTTCCTGCCCCCCTGCCCAAAGCTGAGCCGCTCTTGGGGAGCTTGTGCCTCCGCGGAGGGACACCTGGGGGGGTTCATCGGGGTGCAGCGGTCATGGAGTCCCCACACCGACAGCACCCTCAGAGTGGGCGGGAAGCCCCCCCAGAGACCAGAAAGCAGGTCTTCGTCCTGGTTTTACAATAGGTATATACAGTTCTCTTGGAAAAAAATACCAAAGGGCCAGTGCCTAAAGCAAGACCCTGTCCTAAATATAACCAGTGGGAGAGGGCTGGGGGCGTGGTGTGGCAGCCTCGTGCCAGCGGGGCAGGCCCAAGGCCCCGAGTTCAAGCCCCAGGGCTGCAGATTCATCAGTCAACAAATACCATGCCCTGTGCTGACCGAGAGCGGTCCGCCTCACAGACAGGCCCCGGGCCCGGACCCTGGTGCCTCTCAGCTGGGGGTGCAAGGTCAGGGGCCGGGGGCAAACATTCAGTCTCCTCTGAGGACAGAGGTCATTTCCAGACATCCTACAGATGTGTGCTTGGCAATGGAAAGAGAGGAGGGGAATCTCCTTGGAAAGTTCTCCTCCCCCCCCCCCCCCAGCACATCCTGGAGGAGGCAGGACGGAGCTGTGCGCGGTGCACACGCAAGATCAAGTCCAGAGAATTCCAGAACTGCTCCAGGGTGGACCTGGGGGTGGACGGAAGGAGCTGGCCGAGCTCTGCTCCCGGCTGCTCCATCTGTGAGCAGCCAAGGCAGGAAGGGCCGAGGAGGGGCTGGGGGGACACACCGTGCCCAGAGGGGGAGGGCCTGGCAGTCAGGGCCGCGAGGAGGCGCGGGCTTCCAGCCCTGTTCTCACAGTGCCCTGCAATCAGCCTCCCCAAAGAGGGACACCGGTGCGGGCCGCAGGGCTCCGTGTTGGATATCCATTCGAGGGGGGGAATAGCGGTGGTCCGATCCTCGGGGACCCCACGGAGCAGAGGTCCAGGGCTCCTCCCAGCAAGAGCTTCCCTGGCGGCCATCCCTGCAGTGCAAATGGGCTGCGGCACCAGAGGCTGCTGGCCCTGTGGGAGGCTGGGAAGGGAGGATGGGCCCCTCCCCACCCCCCGCAGCCCTGTTGGGGCCTGGGTGTGAGAGGTGCGGTTCTGATGAGTGGAGAATGGACACCCCGGGACCCCAGCTGCCCGCTGCGTGGTCCCAGCCCGTGCACGAGAGCGGCCTCCCTGGTTCCCATGGGCCCCAAGGTCGGAGGTAGCAGTCAGACGCGTCCACCTCACAGGATCCTGTACAGCCCGGGAGGAAGTGACCCAACAGTGTCCCAGAAAGTTCTAGCAAATCAGTGACAGCACCCTCATGGCCGGGTCGGGCCTGGACAATGCCGGGAGAGGGGGGAGACCTGACCCGGCGCCTGGCTGTCCTCCAGCGTCTCTGCTCTCCCCTTGTCCCGGCCCCTGCCCTGCGGGCCGCTGCTCAACCAGCCCGGGGACCGGGGCCGAGAGGAGACCCGCCGTGACACAGCCAGGCGCCGAGCCCCAAGAGCTGCGCCCCGGCCCTGGTGAGGGACCCCCGCAAACAGACACGGGCAGCCAGCTGCTTTCCTCACTTTAATGAAGGGGGGCGGGGGGGCAGCAAGTCAGCATGGGGGAGGGCCCGGGGGGGGGGGGGGACCTGGCCCTCCCGGGACGGGCTGTCCTCTGGCTCAGGGGTGCTTGGGGACGTGGCGGTGGATCCAGTCTAAGTAGTAGGTGACGCGGGTGTAGACGCCGGGCCGGTTGAGGTGCGCACAGCGCTCGCCCCAGCTCACCACGCCCGCCTGCAGCCACGAGCTCGCCCTGCACACCAGCGGCCCGCCGGAGTCGCCCTGGGGAGGCGGGAGTCAGTGCTGGGCCCAGAGGCCCGGGAGTGGAGGCCGGGGCTGGGGGGGGCGGGGGAGGGCCCGGCCGAGGGGGCGCGGGGTTCCAGGACCCACCTGGCAGGAGTCCTGGCTGTTTCCGGCGCACAGCATGTCGTCCCGGACAATGTGGATGTTGTCGCCCGTGTAGACGCCACTGTGGTACTTGGCTTCACAAAGGCGGTTTTCCACGATGGGCACCTTGGCTTGCTTCAGGGGAAAGGGCGGTGGGAGGGGCTCTGGAAGACGGGAGGCCTCAGCGGGAGCCCGTGCAGCCCCAGGTCTGGGGGGGATGTGGGGAGAGCCGGCCCCCCCCACCCGCCCATCCAGCCCCAGGTCTGGGGGGGATGTGGGGAGAGCCGACCCCCCTGCCCAGCCGCCCGTCCATCCGGCCCCAAGTCTGGGGGGGATGGGGATGTGGGGAGAGCTGGCCCCCCGCCCGGCCTCCGGAGCTCACCTACCCTCACCCAGCACGGGGTGCCCGCGGGGAAGGGCTCCGAGGCGGGGGGCAGGGACACGGGCCGCACGCGGCCGGAGACGTTCACGGGCTCCTCCAGCTCCAGCAGGGCGATGTGGGCCGGGTCGGGGCGGCGTGGTAGTCGGGGTGGGGGACGACGCGGCGGACGGGCAGCAGCCGGTCGCGGTAGCAGAGGTGCTGCTGGCGGAGCTGCACGCGGAGGAGCTCAGGGGGGAGGATGTGCCTGGGGGGCAGCCCTGCTCGGGAGGGCCGGCCGGGCCCAGGGGCGCGGGGGTGCTGCCCCCCAGCCCGGCCCGGCCCCCCCACTCACGGTCCCACTGCGGGTGGATGAGCGAGCCCCCGCAGATGTGCTTCCAGTAGATGAGGCGGACTCTCAGGCTCACCTGCCAGGACCACGTGTTCTTCGGGGCCTCCTGGCCCCCCACGATGCCCGCCCGCTCCATGGCGGGGCTCGGGGCTCCACAGGGGGAGATCTGACCACCGGCCGCGGCCCGCGCCGGGCCAGCCCTGAACCCCCTTCACCCCAGCCCGTGGGTCCTGGGGCTGGGGACGAGGACAGGACGGGCCTAGGAGGGACTCGCCAGGAGCGGCCAGGGCCAGGCTGGACAGGAGGGGCTGTGCCAGCAGCGGGAGCATCTGCAAGCAGCCGGGAGAGGACGGGGCGCTGGCTGCCGAGTGGACCGGGGCGTCCGGGCCCCAGGCTGACGCCCAGCCGCTGCCCCCCCAGGCCTCGAGGACAGGGTGCCGGACTCACCCTCACCGTCGCCACTCCTCTCCGTCTGGGGCCCGTCCCGCCCCCATTTATCCCTGCAGACTGGCATGGGGCAGGGGCGGAGGAGGGGCACCCCCATCCTGGCATGGAGGAAGTCCTGACTCAGACGCCTCGCCCGCCCCCACCCTCCACGTGCCCAGCCGGCGCCCACGGAGCGCAGCACAGCACTCCTGTGGGCCCGTGGTGGCCAGGAAGCCTGGACCGGCCCCAGGGGGACCTCCAGGGCCCGCCACGTCCATCAGATCGGGGTTCCCGGGTGAGCCCCACTGTGGACTGGGCACTGGGCATCCCAGGGTCCCCGTCCCGGCTGGCGGTCTCTGGTGCTGGGTCAACGCGGCTGCCAGCGGCTGGGGTGGGGCCCCTGCCTCCTGCCCGGGGCAGCGTGGGTCTCCTGAGGGGGCCTCAGACTCAGGGCCGCCCCCCAACTGTGCACCACCCCCGAGGCAGGAAGCGGCGTCTGTGGGCCGCGTCCTGTACCCCAAGTCCTCCCCCCCACCGCGGGAAGCTCATATAAGACCTTATCAGAGCAGAGATCGGCCTTGGGGGAAGCAGCAGCGGCGCCTGGCGGCCTGCAGTCCGGCAGATAACCCCCAGGCCCCACTCTGGGCTTCACCCCCAACTCTGCTGACCAGACAGTACTGGGCATCTCAGACACCTGAACCCCAGCAGCAGGGGGCCATGTGTGGGGGTCAGGGCCATGACAGCACCAGAGGCCGGTGCCAGCCTCCCCTGGCCTCCCAAACACCCCCCCCCCCGCCCACCCAGGCTGACACCCACCGTCCCGCCCCTCCACCCCCTCCTGCTCGCCCGGGCCTGCTCTCCTCCGCTCCCAGCCAGCCCCTCCTCACCTTGCGGGCCTGATCCTGCCCGTGTGGACGCCTAGGCCTCGCTGTCGCTCCCGCCGCCCAGGGCAGGTCCTGAGCCCACGCGCCTGCCCTCCCACCCCGGCGGCACATGGCAGGCTTCCTCCGGAGAGCGGGGCATGCACGGTGTCCTGCCCGGCATGTCCGGTCCTGTCCCCATTCATCCTCTAACAACTTCCCTGGAGGTCTTTCAAGCCCAACGCTGACAAGAAAGGACCTACAAGGGCTGGGAAGGTGGCTCAATGGTAGAGCGCTTGCCTTGCATGCCTGAGGCCCTGGGTTCGATTCCTCAGCACCACATAAGCAGAAAAAGATGGAAGTGGTGCTGTGGCTCAAGTGGTAGAGCGCTCGCCTTGAGTGAAAGAAGCTCAGGGACAGCGCCCAGAGCCCCAGGACTGGCAAAAGACAAAAAGGCCAGGCAAGCCAGGCTCCAGTGGCTCACGCCTGTCATCCTAGCTACTCAGGAGGCTGAGATCTGAGGATCATGGTTCAAAGCCAGCCCGGGCAGGAAAGTCTATGAGGCTCTTTTTTTTGTTGTTGTTGTTTTTCCTTCTTTTTTTTGTTTTTTTTGTCGGCCATGGGGCCTGAACTCTAGGCCTGGGCACTGTCTCTCAGCTCTTCAGCTCAAGGCTAGTGCTCTACCACTTGAGCCACGGTGCCACTTCCAGCTTTTTCTGCTTATGTGGTGCTGAGGAATCAAACCCAGGGCTTCATCATGCAAGGCAAGCGCTCTACCACTGAGCCAACTTCCCAGCCCTGTGAGACTCTTTATCTCCAATAAACTACCAGAAAGCCAGAATGGCACTGTGGCTTGTGGTAGAGCGCTCGCCTTGAGCTGAGGAGCACAGGGACAGCGCCCAGGCCCAGAGCTCAAGCCGCAGGACTGACCAAAAAAAAAAAAAAGGTCCAGGCACTCGGTGCTGCTTCCTCCGCGGCCAATCCCTGCTCTGATAAGGTCTCATATGAGCTTCCTGCAGTGGGGGGGGACTTGGGGTACAGGACGCCGCTGGCCCAAACCGCTTCTTTGAAGGTGGCCCACCGCTTGAGCCACAACTCCATTTCAGGCTTCTTGGTAGTTAATTAGAGGTGAGAGTCTCTTGGGCTTCACCTGCCTTGGCTGGCTCTGAACCACCAGTCTCTGATTTCAGCCTTCCAAGTAGCTAGGGTTAGAGGGGTGAGCCACAGGCTCCCCCTAAAAATGCAGCTGTCACTGTCGCCCTCAGTGATCACCTTTATCATAACAATAGAAAGTTAAAAACCAAAAACCACACCGCCACACCCCTGCATGCCCCCTCGGGAACCAGCGCCCCGGCCGACCCCCCTCGGGAGCGGGCACCCTGGCCGACCCCTCTCGGGAGTGGGTGGCCGGCTGCCTCCCTCTGGAGCCTGTGCCCGGCCGACCCCCCTCGGGAGCCTGCGCCCGGCCGACCCCCTCAGCAGCAGTTCCTCGAGCTTCTCCCTGGCCAGATGCACTGCACGACCCCACAGCGCCACACCAAGCCCATCCAAGAGAAAAACGGAGACCCGTTCCCACGGACATGGCAAGACAGCCTCGGTCCTGGGAGCCCAGCTGGAGGCTCCGTGGGGGATCCAGTGCCGCGGGGTCCTGTCCGCGGGAGCCGCACCCAGCCCTGGAGGAGCCCAACCGCGCAGGGACACCAGGAGCGCAGGGCTGGCGCGAGGCAGGGAGCCGGGACAGTGCGGCAGGGGGTGGACCGGGCAGGCCGATGGCGCCTCGCGGTCCTGGCCGCCCCGGGACCTTGGCTCCCGGCCTCTGCGGGACCTCGGGACGCCGCGGCCGTTGGCGCTTGGCCGGGCGGCTGCTGGGACCCCGCTCTGCTCCACTCTAGCCAGCGCCCGGCCGGCTCAGCTGGGGCCGGGCTGGCCACACGGGCCACGGACCCGTCCCCGTCGGCCCCCGGGGAGGAGCCGCGGCGGTGGGCGAGGGAGGGGGGCGGCGTGCGGGGACCGCGGCCCTGGAGGCCAGGCACGTGGGTGACGTGGGGGACACAGGCCGGGGATGAGGACAGAGGCACGGAGAGGCTCGGAGAGCGCCCACCCGCCCTGAGTCCGCCAGCCTCCAGCTTGTGCTCAAGCAACACTCGACGCGCGGCGTTGGCAGCATTTTTATTCAGCAAAGCCTGGGAGCGGAGACAAGCCGCAGCCTTCAGCAGCCGGACTCTCCACGCCGCGGCCGGACTCTCCACGCCGCGGGCCTGCGCCCCGCCCCGCCCCGCCGCCCACCCCAGGACCTTCCCTGGGCAGGCAGCCGGTCAGCGGGGGCCTCACGCCGCCCCCCCATCTCCGGTCAGAGCAGTCCAGGCTCCCGCAGGCCTGAGGGGGCCGGGCCCAGGGGTCCAGGCGGAGCTCGGCGGTGCGGGAGCGGGCGGCCCTGCCCCCGTCCCCGGCTGGGCTCAGGAGAACCTCTGCACCTGCTTCAGGACCCAGGGCACGAAGGTCTGGACGCGGGCGTAGACGCCGGGCACGTCGATCAGGGCGCAGCCGTAGCCCCAGCTGACCACGCCCATCAGCGTCCAGGCGCCCGACACCTTGCAGACCAGGGGCCCTCCCGAGTCGCCCTGGGGGAGAGGGGGAGGACGAGGAGGCCGTGAGGGAGGGGCGGGCGTGCAGGGTGGGGAGGGGCGGGCGGAGACTCACGTAGCAGGAGCCCCGGCCAAAGCCGCCGGCACACAGCATGTCCTCCTGGATGAACCTGCGGCCACGGAAGCGGTGCCAGGTGGCGTTGTGGAATTTCTCCTCACAGACGGCGTTGCTCACCACCAGCAGCTTCGCCTCCTGCAGGCGGTAGGGCGGCGGCAGCGAGGCTGGGGAGAGAGGCGGGCCGCGGTGAGGGCGCCGCCCTCACGGGGCAGGACCCCGGCGGGCCTCCGCGGCCGGGCCTCCGCGCTGAGCCTCCAGTGTGGGGGGAGGGGCTGGTGCGCAGCGGGAGCCGCTGCTCTGCTCTGTGGACCCGGCACCAGCACCAGCTTCCTCCCACCGTGACTGAGGGGCACAGCCCCAGTCCCCCCGCCCCGACTCCCCTCAGCCCCCCACACTCACAAAACAGGCTGATGGCGCCCCAGCCCGTCACCCAGCACTGGTCCAGCGAGGCAGCGTCCAGGGAGGCGGACGGCAGCCTGACGGGCTTGACGCTGTTCGAGCACTGCACGGGCTCTGCCAGCCGCAGCAGCGCCACGTCGGAGCCCAGCATCCAGTGCACGTAGTCCTGGTGGACGATGACCTTGCTCACGCCCAGCAGCTGCTGGCCCCCGTACAGGTACACGTCCCCCACGTGCACCCGGAAGGCCGCCGGGTCCACGTCCCGCCTGGGGTCAGAAGGAGGAGGTCACGCAGAAGCTCGCTGCCCTGGGGCCCAGCCCGGCACGGGCAAAGGCTCGAAGCCCCAGAGCCCGGGATCCCGGGGTGGACTCACCGGCGGATGCAGTGGGCGGCGGTCAGCACCCACCGCGGGTGGACGAGGGAGCCGCCGCAGATGTGCACCCAGGAGGCCCAGTGGTAGCTGTAGACCCTCAGGCTGACCTGCCATGGCCACCGCCCCTGGGGGGCGCTGGACCCGCCCACGACGCCCACCAGCTCATTCTTGGTGACAGGTGCTGGAAGCAACGCCAGGAGTCAGGGGACGGGTGCTCGGCCCGCTGCCCGGTCAGCCAGGGCAGGGCATGCACCCCAGGACCCCAGGGACCCCTCATGACCCCAAGGGCCCCCCAGAACCTTGAGGTGGCCCGAGGGCCCTGAGGGCGGGGTGCACAGGCGTCCCGGGGTCCTCAGGCTCAGCAGTGGATCCCGCCAGCAGGAAGAGAGTCAGGCCCAGCAGGCTCAGCATCTGCGAGGAGACAGCATGGAGGCCCTGCCCGGGAGGCCCTGCCTGGGAGGCCCTGCCCGGGGGGCCCTGTCTGGGAGGCCCTGCCCGGGGGGCCCTGTCTGGGAGGCCCTGCCCGGGGGGCCCTGCCCACGAGGCCCTGTCCGGGAGGCCCTGCCTGGGAGGCCCTGCCCGGGGGGCCCTGCCCGCGAGGCCCGGCGTCCCCGGAGGCCAGGCCCCGCACACTCACCTTGCCAGGTCCCCACAGGTCTGTCCTCCCCAGCCGCGGAGCCCCTTTATCCTCCAGCCACAGGAAGTGGGCAGGGGGCTCAGCCAGGCCACAGAGCCGGGAGGAAGTGGCGTGAGCCGTGGCGAGGCGGCGGAGGGCTGACTGCCGGGTGGACACAGGGCCTCCCCGGGCCCAGCCCCACGTCGCACCTGTCACCGTCTGCTCACAGGGGAAGGCTCTGGAGAGAGAGGAGGGCTGGGGCTTTGTCCGGCCAAGCCCTCCGTCCCATGCGGTCACAGCCAGGCCGAGGCCCTGCGCTGGTCCCCGCTGTGTGGGGCGCCTGGCCCGGCCGCCGTGGTGACCAGCCGTGGGCCTGGCGCCCGCGCTGCCCCTGGCCGAGCACGTTGTCAGTGGCCAGTGCAGGCCGCTCTCCCTTGCATCTGCTGGCTTGTGGGGACCTTGTGTCCAGTGTGGGGCCCGCACGGATGCTGAGGGGTGTCCTGCACTCAGGACAGCCTGGGGGCCAGGGGAGGCTCTGGTGGGGGTAACACCCCTCCAGGGCGGCGGTCAGCCGTGTCTGGGCTTCCCGGGGACACAGCAGGGGGAGGCCCTACAGGGTCAGCGAGTCAGGCCTGCCTGCACCTGCCCGTCCCTCGCTGGCCCCGTCCCCCTGCCCGTCCCTCCCCCGCCCTGTCCTCCTGCCCGTCCCATGCTGTATTTGGGGACAAGCCCTCCCCACTCCCAGCTGGAGACTCAATGTCCTCCAGGTCCATGCAGGGTGGCTGTAGGGACACTGACAGGACAGCCGGCCATGTCTGGAGAACCGCAGGGGCCCCGCGGACGGCCCGGGGGTCGGCAGGGGCCTGGGGCCGGCGCCCGCGCTGGAGGCCGGGTCTGATATCTCGGCGGGATCAACCACGTCCTCACGGGAGGTCCCAGCTGTGGCCATTAGGCAACAGGGAAAATGGAGACAGGATGCCCGGCCTGCCTGATAGGGCAGGACAGGCCACCCAGAGAACCTGGGCGATAGGATCAGAGAAACGGCCAGGGCCCTGGGGCCCGGCCCGGCCAATGGGAGCCGCGTCCAGGCCGTGGCCAGTGCTGGGCTCGGGATCCATTAGGGGAGCGGCAGCTGCCCAGGGCTGGTGTTGCAAGAGGGCTGGGTTGGGCAAGCCCCGGGCAGAGGGCCGGCATGGCCAGGCGCGCTTCAGAGCGAAGCCCACAGAGGGCCCGGTCCCTGCCCCGGGGTGCGGGGCTTCGTCCACAGCTGTCACAGCCCCTTGACCCGCGACTGCCTTGGGTGCCGGGATCAGCCCACCCCGCCATCTCCCAGGACAACACCCAGGGTGGTAGCAGAGCCAACACTCGCCGCGCCCACAGTGCGCAGATAGCGGGGCCTCGGGGGACTCCGTGTCCCTGTGCCTCCGCCTCGGGGGACTCCGTGTCCCTGTGCCTCGGCCTCGGGGGACTCCGTGTCCCTGTGCCTCGGCCTCGGGGGACTCCGTGTCCCTGTGCCTCGGCCTCGGGGGACTCCGTGTCCCTGTGCCTCGGCCTCGGGGGACTCCGTGTCCCTGTGCCTCGGCCTCGGGGGACTCCGTGTCCCTGTGCCTCGGCCTCCTCTGCTGACGTCTGCTGTTATTGTAGGGTGGATATACAGAGGACTTCCCCTGACATGAGTCACGCGATGAGTGCAGTTCTTTTTGTTTTGTCGGTCGTGGGGCCTGAACTCTGGGCCTGGGCGCTGTCCCTCAGCTCTTCAGCTCAAGGCGAGCGCTCTACCACCGGAGCCACAGCGCCACTTCTGACTTTTTCTGTTTATGTGGTGCTGAGGAATCGAACCCAGGGCCTCAAACATGCAAGGCAAGCGCTCTACCACTGAGCCACCTTCCCAGCCCCTACGGTTCTTTTTTGAACCATGTGCCCCCTTCCCCTCGCTCTCTCCCAGTTTTTCCCTCCTGTCGCTGCCCACAAGATGTGCTGCTCATTTCCACGTGGTATACAGCTCATTTCCACGTGCTGTGCCGCTCATTTCCACGTGCTGTGCTGCTCATTTCCACGTGGTGTACAGCTCATCTCCACGTGGTGTGCTGCTCATTTCCACGTTCTGTGCTGCTCATTTCCACGTGGTGTACAGCTCATCTCCACGTGGTGTACAGCTCATCTCCATGTGCTGTGCTGCTCATTTCCACATGCTGTGCCGCTCATTTCCACGTGCTGTGCTGCTCATTTCCACGTGGTATACAGCTCATTTCCACGTGCTGTGCCGCTCATTTCCACATGGTGTACAGCTCATTTCCACGTGCTGTGCTGCTCATTTCCACGTGCTGTGCTGCTCATTTCCACATGGTATACAGCTCATTTCCACGTGCTGTGCTGCTCATTTCCACGTGCTGTGCTGCTCATTTCCACGTGGTATACAGCTCATTTCCACGTGCTGTGCTGCTCATTTCCACGTGGTATACAGCTCATTTCCACGTGCTGTGCTGCTCATTTCCACGTGGTGTACAGCTCATTTCCACGTGGTATACAGCTCATTTCCATGTGCTGTGCCGCTCATTTCCACGTGCTGTGCTGCTCATTTCCACGTGGTATACAGCTCATTTCCACGTGCTGTGCTGCTCATTTCCACGTGGTGTACAGCTCATTTCCACGTGGTATACAGCTCATTTCCACGTGCTGTGCCGCTCATTTCCACGTGCTGTGCTGCTCATTTCCACGTGGTGTGCAGCTCATTTCCACGTGCTGTGCCACTCATCTCCACATGGTGTGCTGCTCATTTCCACGTGGTGTCTGGTGGGTGCCACCGCGGCATTCCTTCGTCCTGTTCCAGCTCTACGGCCCCCCCTCCCCGCCAGGCACCAGCAAAGTAACAAACAGGACAAAGGGAAAGGAAAAGAAAAAAACAGCAACAATGGAGTCCCTTGCTTCCTTTTCTTGGAGTTCATTTCACAAAATAACAAATCTGAGGCAACATTTCATCAAGGGTTATTTTATCAGCCCCCAGGGGCAAAGCTACTGAGCCTCCCCCAACCACGCCAGCGCTACCTGCTTTCCGCCTCCGAGTGTGAATGTCTGTAGTCCTATATAATTGATCATCGATATCCCAGTGTGCGTGCGTGCACACACACATGCGCACATACACGCGCACACACACACACGCACACGCACAAACACACATGCACACGTGCACACAAACACGCGCACACACAAACACGCACGCATACACACGCACACATGCACGCACGCACAAACACGCGCACACACGTGCACATGCACATGCACACATGCACGCACACATACATGCATGCACACACAAACATGCACACCCGTGCACACGCACACGCACACGCGCATGCACACGCACACACGCACACACGTGCACATGCACACACACACACTGATCGTTCCATGGTGCTTTTTCCTGTTAACTCTGAAGTGTTTTTTCTGTAGGAGTTTTTTCCCTTTAGTTGTTTCTCTGCTCTAAGGATGTGGGCGCTGTCGACATCGTCTTCATTTTCAAAGCACACGGCGGTGTACGGGCCGTTCCCTGTGGGGAGCAGTTTGGGGGTCCCCAGCCCACAGCACCAACCACAGTGGTGCTGAGCCTGGGGCGTCGGCGGGTGCAGACGCCCCGGCGGGGTCTGCAGGGTGCGGGACCAGGCTGCGCGGCCTGCCTGGCATGCGGGGCCTCCAAGGGCCTCCGCGGTAGCTCTGGGCCTCTGCGGACGAGGGGGGAGAAGGGGGTCTGTGTCTTCCCCTCCACCTCCACGTCACGCCCATCCGATGCAGCCCACTTTCTAAGCGCTGAGGCCGGCTCTGAACCTAGGGCCGGGGCCACGGGACCGAATCTGTGATCTGTGGCTTGTGTGGCAGAGCGGCTGCAGTTTTTGCTTGGTTTCGCTCTGAGTGAGCGGGTGGCCGCAGGGCAGAGGTGGGCAGAGGTGGCGTTCCTGTCCCCTCGCGGTGGGCTGGGGGGACATCTTGCTGGCCATGGCTCTGAAGAGAAGCTGAGAGCCTTTGGCATGGAATTAGGGCTCAGCAAGCACCGCCCCTGGGGCCTGGCCCCCCTTGTTAGCTGCAAAGGGGCGCAGGGGACCGGGCCCCGGGCACCCGTGCCTCAGGAGGCCCCACGGGGCACAGGGCACGTGCTCCGAGCCCTGGCTGAACTGAATGTAGCCACTTCCCAGACCCTCACCGGCAACAGTGACAGGGCGGGGGGGGGGGGGCAGGAGGGACTTTGAGCAAAGGGACTCCGACCCCGGATCAGCCAGCGAGCCCCGCCCCCCCGCCCCGGGCCTGGCGAGAAAGGTAGCCCTTGAGGGAGTTCCAACAGCAGCTCGCTCGGTCTGGGTTAGGGTTTTTGTTTGTTTGTTTTACCAGTGCTGGAAGGTTCGTTTTTGTCTGTGGTGGTACTGGGATCTGAATTAGGGCTTTTGTACTTATCAGGCAGGTGCTTTACCACTCAAGCAATGACTCCAGCCCCAAACAGCCACGTTGGCCTGGGAGCCCAGGGCCGGGGACAGGGACACAGCGCACAAATGTGCTTGAATGACGCAGGGCTGACCACCACAGGACCCCATCTCTGCAACGTTTGTGCCTTGGTTTACTCGTCTAGAACCGGCATGAATGCAGAACCTGTGGGTGCTGTCCCAGAGAGGAGACCAGTGCTCACGGGAATGGGGACCATCACAGCATCTTTATTCAGAGGCCAGGCAGCAGAGAGCCTGGCTGGACCTCAGCAAACTTGACCCTGCGCCCCTCCCTTCCAGGAGACAGAGCCAGGACCTGGGCCTCGCCAGCCATCTGCTTCCTCCCCGGTGGGGGGGTGCCCCGGCTCTGGCCGGGCTCTGGGGTCGCGGTGCAGGAGTGGGCAGCGGTACCCTCCTAGCTGCAGCAGGCTGGGCTCAGGAGAAGGTCTGCATCTGCTTCTGGATCCAGGGCACGTGGGTCTGGACGCGAACATAGACCCCGGGAATGTCTGGTAGGGCACAGCCGTAGCCCCAGCTGACCACGCCCACCAAGGTCCAGGCGCCGGACACCTTGGAGACCAAGGGCCCGCCGGAGTCGCCCTGGGGGAGGGGAAAAGAAGGGGAGGCCGGCACTGAGGGTCTGGAGGCGGGGGGGGGGGGAGGGAGGCCGGGACTGAGGGTCTGGAGGCGGGGGGGGGGGGAGGCTGGGACTGAGGGTGGGGGGGAGGCTGGGACTGAGGGGGGGTGAGGGCAGGACTGAGGGTGGGGGAGGCCGGGACTGAGGGGGGGGAGGGAGGCCGGGACTGAGGGTCTGGAGGCGGGGGGGGGAGGGGAGGCTGGGACTGAGGGGGGGAGGGCAGGACTGAGGGTGGGGGAGGCCGGGACTGAGGGTCTGGAGGCGGGGGGGGGGGAGGGGAGGCTGGGACTGAGGGGGGGGAGGGCAGGACTGAGGGTGGGGGAGGCCGGGACTGAGGGGGGGGAGGGAGGCCGGGACTGAGGGTCTGGAGGCGGGGGGGGGAGGGGAGGCTGGGACTGAGGGGGGGAGGGCAGGACTGAGGGTGGGGGAGGCCGGGACTGAGGGTCTGGAGGCGGGGGGGGGGGGAGGCCGGGACTGAGGGTGGGGGAGGCTGGGACTGAAGGTCTGGAGGCGGGGGGGGGGGGGTGGCCGGGGCTTACGTAGCAGGAGTCCCGGCCCTCGCTGCCCGCGCACAGCATGTCGGGCAGGATGATCCTCTTGTCTGCGCGGTGGAACCAGGAGGCCCGGTGGTACTGTCTCTCACAGAGCTGGTCGTCCACCACCTGCACCTGCACCTGCTGCAGGCGGTAGGGTGGGGGCAGGGAGGCTGGGGAGAGACGGGAGGGGGGGAGAGGGCAGCAGAGGGAGGAGAGGGGAGGGCGGTGGTGGCGGCGCCGGCCTGGCCGTGCACGGGTGCCAAGACCCGAGTCCCGCTTCCCCATGCTTACCATACATGCTGACGGCGCCCCAGCCCGTCACCCAGCACTGGTCCCCCGAGGCGAGCTCGGCAGAGCCGGACGGCAGTCTGACGGGCTTGACCGTTGGCCGAGCAGTGCACGGGCTCCGCCAGCCGCAGCAGCGCCACGTCCGAGCCCAGGTGGGCGGCAATGAAGTCGGGGTGGACGATGACCTTGCTCACGCCCAGCAGCTGCTGGCCCCCGTACAGGTACACGTCCCCCACGTGCACCCGGAAGGCCGCCGGGTCCGCGTCCCGCCTGGGGTCAGAAGGAGGAGGTCACGCAGAAGCTCGCTGCCCTGGGGCCCAGCCCGGCACGGGCAAAGGCTCGAAGCCCCAGAGCCCGGGATCCCGGGGTGGACTCACCGGCGGATGCAGTGGGCGGCGGTCAGCACCCACCGCGGGTGGACGAGGGAGCCACCACAGATGTGCACCCAGGAGGCCCAGTGGTAGCTGTAGACCCTCAGGCTGACCTGCCATGGCCACCGCCCCTGGGGGGCGTTGGACCCGCCCACGATGCCCACCAGCTCATTCTTGGTGACAGGTGCTGGAAGCAACGCCAGGAGTCAGGGGACGGGTGCTCGGCCCGCTGCCCAGTCAGCCAGGGCAGGGCATGCACCCCAGGACCCCAGGGACCCCTCATGACCCCAAGGGCCCCCCAGAACCTTGAGGCCCCTCAGGGCCCTGAGGACCCTCCCCAAGAACCCTAGGGCCATTCCCAGGACCCCAGAGACCCCCAGAACCTTGAGGTGGCCCCAGGGCCCTGAGGGCGGGGTGCACAAGTGTCCCGGGGTCCTCAAGCTCAGCAGTGGATCCCGTCAGCAAGAAGAGAGTCAGGCCCAGCAGGCTCAGCATCTGCGAGGAGACAGCATGGAGGCCCTGTCCGGGAGGCCCTGTCCGGGAGGCCCTGTCTGGGAGGCCCTGCCCGGGGGCCCTGCCCACGAGGCCCTGTCCAGGAGGCCCTGCCCGCGAGGCCCTGCCCGCGAGGCCCAGCGTCCCCGGAGGCCAGGCCCCGCACACTCACCTTGCCAGGTCCCCACAGGTCTGTCCTCCCCAGCCGCGGAGCCCCTTTATCCTCCAGCCACAGGAAGTGGGCAGGGGGCTCAGCCAGGCCGCGGGGCCAAGAGGAAGTGGCCTGGGCCGTGGCGAGGCGGCGGAGGGCTGACTGCCGGGTGGACACAGGGCCTCCCCGGGCCCAGCCCCACGTCGCACCTGTCACCGTCTGCTCACAGGGGAAGGCTCTGGAGAGAGGAGGGCTGGGGCTTTGTCCGGCCGGCCAAGCCCTCCGTCCCACGCTGTCATGGCCAGGCCGAGGCTCTGCACTGGTCCCCGCCGCGTGGGGCGCCTGGCCCGGCCGCCGTGGTGACCAGCCGTGGGCCTGGCGCCCGCGCTGCCCCCGGCCGAGCACGTTGTCAGTGGCCAGTGCAGGCCGCTCTCCCTTGCATCTGCTGGCTTGTGGAGACCTTGTGTCCAGTGTGGGGCCCGCACAGATGCTGAGGGGCGTCCAAGAACCCCCGCCCAGGCTGTCTGGGCTCCCTGGGTCCAGGCCAGCCCTGCCTCGACGGCCAGCCCTGCCCTTCAGCTGAGAACAAGCTCCCCGGCTCAGGCCGCTTCCTGTCCCCGCTCAGCGCGCGCTGTCCCCGGGCCCAGGTGCTGAGCGGCCGCCTCTGTGGCTGATGACACTGAGAAACGGTGGCTCCGAGTAGCCAGAAAGGAAAGGCCAGGGAGGTGCCCCCCGGAGGGCCTGAGGTTCCAAGCCAGGGCGCGGGGAGCCTGGGCGCGGGGAGCCTGGGCGCGGGGGAGCCAGGGCGCGGGGAGCCTGGGCGCGGGGAGCCAGGGCGCGGGGAGCCAGGGCGCGGGGAGCCAGGGCGCGGGGAGCCAGGGCGCGGGGAGCCTGGGCGCGGGGGTACTCCTGTGGACAGGCGTGGGAAGACGTGGGCAGGCCCGGGGCAGGCCTGGACTTGGGGAGGCCGCGCGGCCGTCAGCGGCATCCTGACCGCGTGAGGGCCCCGCAGGGTCTCAGGGCCTGGGCCAGGAGGAGCCCTTGGGAGAAGCTGCCAGGAGCGGCTGGAGGGGCCTCCCCAGGAGCCGCCGGGGTGGGGAAAGGCAGTGGGGGTCCTTGTGCCCCGAGAGGGTGACGTGGGACACGTTCGGCGTCCAGCACGCCCCGCTGACCGGCAGGGCGGGCGGGGCCCCACATCCAGGCAGCCTCGAACCTCAGGGCCTGGAGACGGGATACCCGGCCGGCCCGATAGGGGAGGACAGGCCACCCAGAGAACCTCAGCGATAGAATCAGAGAAACGGCCAGGACCACCGGGCACGGGGCCAGGCCTGGCCGGGGAGAGCCGCGCCCAGGCCTCAGGGGCTGTGAGATAGGACCGTGGCTGTGGGAGCCGGTGTTGCAAGAGGGCCGGGTTGGGAAACGCTGGGCAGAGGGCCAGCACAGGGCCACCACGTTGCATCATGAAGCCGGCAGGAGAGAGCCAGCGGTCCCTGGAGCCCAGGGGTGCAGGGGGCTGTGACCGGGCCGCTCCCCCATCTCCAACTGTAACCCAGCTTTGTGTGCCCGTGGAACACCAATCTATGACAGACCCGGCCCCTCTCCGTCTCCTGCAGGGCCCGGAAAGCCCTCTGCCCTTGTACAGGGTGGCCTGGGTGGCACTGCTGGCTCCTCCTCCACCCTGGACTCACCCCGCCAGCCCGCCTCAGCTGCTCTGCCCGGGATGCACCGTGGGTCCCAAAGGCACTTGGATGGAGACTTCAGGCTTGGGCCCCATAGAAGCAACTATGAAGTAAGAAGCACTAAGTCCTCTGGGATGTGCCTGGAAACCCAGAACCTTGGCTCTCATTCCAATATGAAGTGGGTTTGTTTCTGTGCCCGTGCTGGGGCTTAAACACTGGCCTGTGCTCTCCATGAAATCTTCTCAAAGCTAGAGCTCTACCACTTGAACAACAGCACCACTTCTGGGGTTTTTTGGTGATTAATTGGAGGTAAGAATCTCACAGAGCCGGGTGCCAGTGGCTCACGCCATAATCCTAGCTACTCCGGAGGCTGAGATCTGAGGATCATAGTTCAAAGTCAACCAAGGGCAGGAAAGTCTGAGAGACTCTTATCTCTAATAAACCACTCAGAAAAAGCCAGAAGTAGTCTTGTGGCTCAAAGTGGTAAAGCCCTCGCCTTAACCACAGAGAGGCTGAGGAACAGTGCCCAGACCCTGAGTTCAGGCCCCAGGACCAGGGGAAAAAAAAAAAAAAAAAAGTCTCACAGACTTTCCTGCCTGGACTGTCTTCAAACTGTGATCCTCAGATCTCAGCCTCCGGAGTAGCTATGATCCCAGGTGTGAGACACCAGCACCTGACAGAGATAGCTTTTATTGTAAGAATAATGTAGGGCTGGGAAGGTGGCTCAGTGGTAGAGCGCTTGCCTTGCAAGCATGAGGCCCTGGGTTCGATTCCTCAGCACCACATCAGCAGAAAAAGCCGGAAATGGCGCTGTGGCTCCAGTGGTAGAGCACTAGCCTTGAGCTGAAGAGCTGAGGGACAGCGCCCAGGCCCTGAGTTCAAGCCCCACCACCGACAAAAAATAAATAAAATAATAATGTAAATATCTCTGGTTATAGAGAAGAATGTACGGTTCGTATAAGCTCCCCATCCCCCTACCCAGCGTTGGTGGGAGATGGAGATGGAGAGGGAGGGGTCAGAACTCTGGGGAGATGCCCGAGGGCATGATGGCTCCCACACAGTCCCGGGCGGTGGGTCTCGGCACCGTGGCTCGGCTACGGAGGTCAGGGACCCCCTTCCCTGTGCCTTCCACTTCTCCCGTGACACAGCCAGCTCCACAGTTCAAATCCCGCCACACGTCTCCTCCCCCTCCAAACTGAGTGCCCAGGAAGGCAAAGACAGAGCAGATGCCAGCAGCTCGCACCTGTAGTCCTGGCTTAGATCTGAGGATCAGGGTTCAAAGGCAGAGGCTAGGATTACAGGCATTAGCTACCAGCCCTGGAGCTGTCACTGCCTTTCCAATCCTTATACCTTATCTAGTAGTTCCCTGACCCCTGGGGTGGTCTGCAGGGAGCTGGCAGGCAGGGAAGCGGCCATCCCTGTCCACCTGCCCTCACTTGGAGGAGGAGGAGGAGGAGGAGGAGGAGGAGGAGGAGGAGGAGGAAGGAGGGGAGAGGGGAGGAGGAGGAGGAGGATCTTACCTTTCACCGTTACCGGGGACGTTTGCTGTGGTTTTTGTAAGAAGACCCCCAATTTTATCAAGAGTTTTATCTCGATCAGGGGAGGATTTATCAGCCAAAAGATCGGGTGCCTTCTCATCTCTGGAGATCTGGGGCCGGGCGGCGTCTCGTTGGTGTGGTGAAATGTTGGCACCAGGCAGGCTTTCCCCGGCTCCCCTGCGGTGCCTTCCGCCTGCCGGGGCCTCAGCAGGCCTGGGCAGGAGGACCGGATCCCTGGGAGAGGACCTGGGAGCAGAGGCCGTGGGGCCTCCATGTCTGCTGAGGCAACGGAGGGGACACACGCGTGCACACACATGCTCCTGCACGCGCACACCCTCTCCCGCTCATGCACACGGGCGCCGTGAGCACATGCAGACACAGGTATCACACACGCACGTGCGTGCCGCCATGACACGTGTGCACACGGAGGAGAGCGCCCGCACACACGCAGGTCTGCCCCGCGCCCGCGGGGCTCTGGGGGCCCCAGACTCCCCACAGCCAATTCCAGTCAGCACAAACCACCGCCTCAGGGAGGCCCAGGAGCACAAGCTGCAGAGAGGAGCCGCAGATTCCGGGGCTGCCTGGCCGAGTGGGGACTCCCCCAGCCCTCGGGATCAGTGGAGCTGCAGCCCCTGTTCCCAGAGCCCCATCAGCGGTCCTCCCGGGCCCGGCCTCCCCCTCCAGCCGGGTCCTCCCGGGCCCGGCCTCCCCCTCCAGCCGGGTCCTCCCGGGCCCGGCCTCCCCCTCCAGCCGGGTCCTCCCGGGCCCGGCCTCCCCCTCCAGCCGGGTCCTCCCTGGGCCGGCCTCCCCCTCCAGCTGGGTCCTCCCTGGGCCGGCCTCCCCCCTCCAGCCGGGTCCTCCCGGGCCTGGCCTCCCCCTCCAGCCGGGTCCTCCCGGGCCTGGCTTCCCCCCTCCAGCCGGGTCTTCCCAGGCCTGGCCTCCCTCCTCCAGCCGGGTCCTCCCCGGGCCTGGCCTCCCCCCTCCAGCCGGGTCCTCCCGGGCCTGGCTTCCCCCTCCAGCCGGGTCCTCCCGGGCCTGGCTTCCCCCCTTCAGCCGGGTCCTCCAGGGCCTGGCCTCCCCCCCTCCAGCCGGGTCCTCCCGGGCCTGGCTTCCCCCTCCAGCCGGGTCCTCCCAGGCCTGGCTTCCCCCCTCCAGCCGGGTCCTCCCGGGCCTGGCTTCCCCCCTCCAGCCTGGTCCTCCCAGGCCAGGCCTCCGGTCCTCCCCAGGCCTGGCCTCCCCCTCCAGCCGGGTCCTCCCGGGCCTGGCCTCCCCCTCCAGCCGGGTCCTCCCGGGCCTGGCCTCCCCCTCCAGCCGGGTCCTCCCGGGCCTGGCTTCCCCCCTCCAGCCGGGTCCTCCCGGGCCTGGCCTCCCCCTCCAGCCGGGTCCTCCCGGGCCTGGCTTCCCCCTCCAGCCGGGTCCTCCCGGGCCTGGCTTCCCCCCTCCAGCCGGGTCCTCCCAGGCCTGGCCTCCGGTTCTCCCCAGGCCTGGCCTCCCCAGCGCAGACCCCCACTGGCTCCACACTGCACGTCCTGCTGTGAGGCAGCCAGGTCTGTACTCTTGGTACCGACCGAGCGGGCAGCAGCCAGCACCCACGGGTGGACATGGCCCCCGAGCTGATGGGCCGCTTGTCATGTTCTTGACCGAGACCCTCACTCCAGTCCCTGGGGTCGGGAAGCCCTACGCTGCCCACAGGTCAGCCCGGCTGGGGCGAGAGGCACAGCGGCCCCCAGGCAACCAAGGGCCAGAAACACCCGTGGAGGTGGGAGGGCGCCGGGCACCGGAGCACTCCTGGCGGGCACCCACCCACGGCGGGCCGGCCCTCCCAGCCCTGCTCCTCCGTGGGGAGGCCCGGGACGCAGGATCACAGGGGCACAGCCAGCTCCCGCATGGCCTGGAGCCATGCCGGCTGAGCCTCGCACACCCTCTTCCTGCCCCTCTGCCCTCTCTAGGTGTCCTGGTGCTGGCAGAGCCTCGTCCCTTCCTATGAGCTGAGCCGGCTCCCATGGTCCTGCATGAGCCAGGAAGTCCCACCCACCACGGCACCCCCGCCCCCCAACTCCCCAAAGTCAGCACCCACTCCAGTACATCTGCAGACGCCACTTCCAGGAGGTGGGCTGCTGGAAGACCCCCGTGTCCCCAGGAGGGGAGGGGCACCATTGGTGGATGCGGGTGGTAGACGGGCTTCTCCAGAGACTAGGGTCTGGTTTCTCAACTTTAAAAGAAATGTCCAAAAAGAAATGGCCTCTTGGGGCTGGGAAGGTGGCTCTGTGGTAGAGCCCTTGCCTTGCATGCCTGAGGGTCTGGGTTCGATTCCTCAGCACCACATAAGCAAAAAGAAAAAAGCCGGAAGTGGTGCTGTGGCTCAAGTGGTAGAGCGCTAGCCTTGAGCTGAAAAGCTGAGGGACAGCGCCCAGGCCCAGAGTTCAGGCCCCACGATTGGACCCCCCCAAAAAGTGAGAAAAGAAAGAAAGGAAAGAAAGAAAGAAAGAAATGTCCTCTTGCAAGAGAGTTGGTGGCTCACGCCTGTCATCCTAGCTACTCAGGAGGCTGAGATCTGAGGATTGCAGTTCAAAGCCAACCCCTTCAGGAAAGTCCATGAGACTCTGATCTCCAATGGACCACTAGAAAACTGGAAGTGGCACTGTGGCTCAAAATGGTAGAGCGCTAGCCTTGAGCTGAAGAGCTCTGGGACAGCGCCCAGGCACGGAGTTCAAATCCCATGACCAACAAAAAAAGAAATGTTCTCATGACCTGACTTATGTCACTGCAAACCCACTGCCACTTCCAGTTTTCTGGCTAACTGGAGATAAGAGTCTCCTGGACTTTCCTGCCCAGGCTGGCTTTGAAACATGATCCTCAGATCTAAGCCTCTTGAATAGCTAGGATGACAGGCATGAGCCACCAACACCTGGCTATAACACCTTTATAATAAGATTTTTTTTTTGTTGTAGATCTTGAACTCTGGGCCTGGGCGCTGTCCCTCAGCTCTTCAGCTCAAGGCGAGTGCTCTACCACTTGAGCCACAGCGCCATTTTGGTTTTCTGGTAGTTCATTGGAGATAAGAGTCTCATGGACTTTCCTGCACGGGCTGGCTTTGAACCGTGATCCTCAGATCTCAGCCCCCTGAGTAGCTAGGATGACAGGCGTGAGCCACCGGCGCCTGGCTAATAATAACAATTTTAACAAAATATAAAAAGAAATCAGAGAAAGGCAAGCGGTGGGTTTTAATGTGTTTTTTTTTTTAATCCTAACAGTTTCATGGGCCTGCGATGTAGGCCGCACCGTTTCGGGCTTGGGTTACAGTCTGTCTTCTGGCACGTTCCAGGCGGCAGCCAGGCCCTGGTGCACCTGTGGGGTCTTCCTCACCGTGGTAAACGCCGGTCTTTTTGCCCTTACTTCCTGCTGTCCCGCCCGGTGTCCCGCATACTCCCCCCCTCTCCCCCCCCCCCCCCCCCCGCTCCACCCCCTACCCCCCCCCCCCCCCCCCCGTGACTCTCCCTTTCCTCGGCATCTTGCACTCTGTGGTCCTTGTTGGCTGGAGACCTGGAGCTCCTCCCTGTGTGATCCCCCCATGCCCCCTGAACCCGTGGCCCAACCCCGGCCTGCCTGGGCCCGGGCCTGGCCCGCGGGGCTGGCCCTGCCGCTCACACGGTCCTGAACAGGCCCGGACTCCCTGGCCGCCGCCTCACGCCCGCACGCGCGTGTGAGCTCAGAGCCGCCGGGAAGCCGGAGGTCCCCAGAGGGCAGCGAGGCCAGCCCGCGGGCGGCCCAGGACCCGCGTCCCCTCCCTTCACCAACCCCGGCCTGGGAATCGGCCTGGGACCTTTAGAATCTGAACGGCCGCTGGGGGGGGGGGGCTCAGAGCTGGGCAGGCCGACACGGCTGCGTGACGCGTCCCCGAAGCAGAGAGCCCAGCACTGCGTCCACAGACCCCAGACTGCAGCCAGAGACGCCCATGCTGCGGCCAGCCTCCCTCCCCTGCGGCTCAGCACCGCGTGCGCGCAGTCCTGGGCACAAAATTCCACAGAGATCAAGGAGGCGGGGTCAGGGCGGGTTTAATGGAAGGCGGGCGGGCGGCGCCCTCGCGGGCTGGGTCTCGCCACTCCATCCGCAGCTACTCTGGCCCGGCTGGGTCAGGGCACCTCCCGCCCTGGAGCGGGGAGGGGGGGGGGGGGTGTTGTTGGGAGGTTGGGATAGGAGCGGGAAGAGGTTGGGGGAGGGCGGGAGGGGGGGCGGGAGGGGGTTGGGGGGAGGGCGGGAGGGGTGGGAGGGGGTTGGGGGGAGGGCGGGAGGGGGCGGGAGGGGGTTGGGGGGAGGGGCGGGAGGGGTGGGGGAGGGGGTTGGGGGGAGGGCGGGAGGGGGCGGGAGGGGGTTGGGGGGAGGGCGGGAGGGGTGGGAGGGGGTTGGGGGGAGGGCGGGGAGGGGGCGGGAGGGGGTTGGGGGGAGGGCGGGAGGGGTTGGGAGGAGGTTGGAGGAGGGCGGGAGGGGGTCACGGAACGCCAGGGTCTCTGTCACTTGGCCCCATCAGGGCCCAGAGAACCAGGGCACGTAGCTGCGGATCCAGGGCACGTAGCTGGCCACGCGGGTGTAGACCCCGGGGAAGTTTTGGAGCCCGCAGCACCTGCCCCAGCTCACCACGCCCACCTGCACCCACGTGCAGTTCCACCTGCAGACCAGGGGGCCCCCGGAGTCACCCTGCGGGGAGAGGCAGGCTCAGTGCTCCCCGGAGAGGGAGGGCGGGCGGGGGAGGGGGCTGGCGGGGGAGCTGGCAGGGGCGGGGGGCTGGGCAGTGAGGGGGCTGGTGGGGGAGGGGGCTGGGTGGGGGGCTGGCGGGGGAGGGGGCTGGGTGGGGGGGCCGGCGGGGGAGGGGGCCGGCGGGGGAGGGGGCCGGTGGGGGAGGGGGCTGGCGGGGGAGGGGGGCCGGCGGGGGAGGGGGCCGGCGGGGGAGGGGGCCGGCGGGGGAGGGGGCCGGCGGGGGAGGGGGCTGGACGCCACACCTGGCAGGAGTTCTGGTCCTTGTCCCCAGCACACAGCATGTCATCCCTGATGGCCGGGCGGTGTCGGGAGGAGTTGCGGTACCTCTGGTCACACTCCCCGTTCCCCACCACGGGCACGGCCACCTCCCGCAGGTGGTAGGGGGGCGGCAGCGGCCCTGTGGGGAGGGGGGTTGAGTGGGGGGGTGGGCGGGCGGGCGCGGGGTGGGTGACCCGATACCCGATACCCACTGTGGTAGCCGAGGTCGCCCCAGCCGGTCACCCAGCAGATCTTCCTGGCGGGGATGCTCAGGGCGGCCGCGGGGAGGGAGACGGGGACCCCGCGGCCCCGCGGCACGTCGGCCTCCAGTCTCAGCAGCGCGATGTCGGCGCCCCCGGCCGCCCCCAGGCTGCTGTTGTACTCGGGGTGCCTGATGATCTGGACCACCCTGCTCAGCTCCTCGCCGGGCGCGTACAGCCTCAGCCCGCCCGCCTGCACCCGGAACGCGCAGGCCCCCAGCTCCTGCCTGGAAAGCCGCCGAGCCCTCAGGGAGGGGGGGGGGCCACCCCGGGGCCAGCCCCCGACGCCCCCAGACCCGGCCCCCCCCACCGGGCGGGTCCCACTCACGGCTCCAGGCAGTGGGCGGCGGTCAGCACCCACCGCGGGTGGACGAGGGAGCCCCCGCACTGGTGCTGCCACCGGTGCTGCCGCATGCTGTAGAACCGCAGGCTCACCTGCCACGGGAAGCTCCTGGCCGCGACGGGGCAGCCCCCGACGATGCCCGGCCGCTCTGGGCCTGGGGTGGGTGGAAGGAGAGGAGGGGGGTCCGGCACAGCCCCGGCAGCGCGGGCAGACCTGGGCGGGGCGGGGGCTTGGCGGTGTTAGGACTCACCGGGGGTCCCGGGTACGGAGGCCCCCAGGCAGGGAAGGATGAGGAGCAGCAGCCACAGCATGGCAGGGCGGTGTGGACGTGAGCTCAGGGCACAGGTTCCGGGCGGCCTGGGCTGGAGCGCGGAGCTCAGGGTGACTTCACTGTCCGGGCCCCGCGCTGTGGCGCCACCGAGCCCCATTTATGCTGCTCCCACAGGATGTGGGCACGGGGGTGGCCAAGCACAGGGTCTCCTGCCCTTGGGGCCCAGGGGCTCTGAGAGGGGTGTCAGTGCATTCGGACGGGGTGCGGCGGGCAGCAGCGGCCCAGCCCTCACCGCCTGGCCCGCAGTGGAAGCCAGAGACGGGAGACGAGGCCCGGGCGCCACGGTTCAGCCTGAGACCATGGAGGACACCGCGTGATGAACCCGCAGACCCCCTCGCCTCCTCCCTGCGCCCGTCTCCCTGCTGCTCTCCAGCCCGCACCAGCCACGCGCTCCGCAAGGAGCCTCAAACCCCAGAACCACCAAAAAAGAGCGCACACACACACACACACACAGGCCCAGGGAAGGTAGTCACCTGCAGCCCGGGATGGGCAGGGAGGGAGGAGGGGGAGGGGGGAGGGGGAGGGGAGGGGGAGGGGAGGGGAGGGAGGGGGAGGGGGGAGGGGAGGGAGGGGGAGGGGGGAGGGGAGGGGGAGGGGAGGGGAGGGAGGGGGAGGGGGGAGGGGAGGGAGGGGGAGGGGGGAGGGGAGGGGAGGGAGGGGAAGGGGGGAGGGGAGGGGAGGGGAGGGGAAGGGGAAGGGGGATGGGGGGAGGGGGAGGGGGGGAGGGGAGGGGAGGGGGAGGGGAGGGGGAGGGGGCACCTTCACCTCCAGTCAGGTTCCCAGACTGTGGAGATCAGTACCTGATTGGTCTTCTTTTTTGTTGGAAGTACTGGGGTTTGAACTCGGGCCTGTGTGCTTTGTTCAGCCCGCGGCTGGCATTCTGCCCCTTGAGCCTCACCCCCAGCCAAAGCTCCTCGCCAGTGTTTTTGGAGGTGGCATCTAGTGGACTTTTTGCCCAGACCAGCCTCGTGAGCCGGCCTCCGGCGCAGCTGGGGTTACAGGCGTGCGCCACGGGCCTCAGGGCCTGGCTTGTGTCCTTCCGCTTGGCTTCATTCTCTGGCTGGGCCGGGTCAGAAGTGCTGGCGATTCCCCACCAGGCCACGTTTGTTTCTATATCACATACGCCGTCAACACCAGGCCGGGCGCTGGGGGCCTCTGGGGCCCCCGCTCCAGCCCCCTTCAGCCATCACGCCTTTGTGTCGGAGCCTCAGTTTCCCCCTGGAGATTCACTCTCCACTGACCACAAGGCTGCCAGAGCTTGCTTCTGCCTCCCACAGGGTGTTGCAGGATGAGATTAGGCAGTGGACTGGGCATTGCCCAACCGCCAGCTCAGTCCCGCACCCAGGCCCCTGTTACATCAGAGCTGAGCCTCGAGCCTCAGCCCCGCAGGGAGACCACAGCGCGGGTGCGGCAGACCCGAGGGACACCTGGACACGGGAAGACAGAGACGCTGGCGGCCCTGCGTCCATCCGCAGAGGGCCGGCTTCCCTGCCGGCCCGGCTGATGATCACCATGGCAACAGCCTCGGGTGGTCACCACATCACCCCTCCCGCCAGGCCGTCTTCCCTGCAGGCCTCCGGTACCGAAGAGCGGCCCCCAGCCCCAAGCAAGGGACACCCGCAGATTCTGTGCCCACACAGGGACCCACAGTCTGGAAGCCTGTCACCCTGTGGCTATAGATTCTGGGCTCATCCCCACAGCTGAGTCTGAGCTGATCCAAACGGACAGACAGAAATACGGCTAGGTCCCCCACCTGGCCTTCTGCCGGGCGGACCCCGCAGGCGGACAGGGAGCTGGAGGCCAGTGCTGGCCGAGCCCACTCTCCCGCAGCCCGCAGCGGGCACCGGCGCTGGGCAGGGTGGCACCCCTAGCCGCTGCCTGTCCTGCAGCTCCCAGGGAGGGCTGGGCACCCCATCCCCGCCTGGCCACTCTGGAAGCTGGGGGGATGGGATTCCTGGGAGGCCAAGCAATTGGGGGGCTGGTGGGCAGACCTGCGTGAGGTCCCCAAAGTTCCCCACAAACCCAAACCCAGGACCCACAGCAGAAGCAAGCTTCCCGGCACCTGCTCCCTCCCCGCGCGCGTGCACATGCACAAGCACGCACACACACACACATGCACATGCACACACATGCACACACGCACACGCACACTCACACACATGCACACACGCACGCACACACATGCATCCACAGACATGCACACACGCGTGCGCGCACACATGCACACACATGCACACACACATGCACACACATGCACGCACACACGCACACGCACACATGCATGCACAGAAATGCACATGCGCACACACATGCACACACATGCACGCACACATGCACACACATGCACGCACACATACACATGCACACATGCATGCACAGAAATGCATGTGCGCGCACACACATGCACACGCGCGCACACGCATGCGCACACACATGCACATGCATGCACATGCATGCACATGCATGCACATACACAAGCATACACACGCACATACACGCACACACACACGTGCACGTGCACGCACACGCACACGCACACACGCACACTCACGCGCGCACATGCACGCCCACTCACACGCGCACACGCACGCACACACGTGCACACACACGCGCGCGCTCACACGCTCACACGCGTACATGCACACACACACACGCACACACACGCACACACACACTGCCCCCAGGTGCCACTCCCAGCCCAGCTGTCTCGCAATCAGCTCCCCCCAGAGTACAAGAGCACGAGGGCTCTGGAGAGAGCCAGGGCCGGGGCTGGGGGGTGAGGGCCGGGGCCGGGGGGTGAGGGCCGGGGCCGGGTGTGGGGTGTGGGGTGAGGGCCGTGGGGTGTGGGGTGAGGGCCGTGGGGTGTGGGGTGAGGGCCGTGGGGTGTGGGGTGAGGGCCGGGGTGTGGAGTGAGGGCCGGGGTGTGGAGTGAGGGCCAGGGCCAGGGTGTGGGGTGAGGGCCGGGCTGGGTGTGGGGTGAGGGCCGGGGCCAGGGTGTGGGGTGAGGGCCGGGGTGTGGGGTGAGGGCCGGGGGGTGTGGGGTGAGGGCCGGGTGTGGGGTGAGGGCCGGGTGTGGGGTGAGGGCCAGGCCAGGTGTGGGGTGAGGGCCGGGTGTGGGGTGAGGGCCAGGCCGGGTGTGGGGTGAGGGCCAGGCTGGGTGTGGGGTGAGGGCCGGGGGGGTGTGGGGTGAGGGCGGGGTGTGGGGTGAGGGCCAGGCCGGGTGTGGGGTGAGGGCCGGGTGTGGGGTGAGGGCCAGGCCGGGTGTGGGGTGAGGGCCAGGCTGGGTGTGGGGTGAGGGCCAGGCTGGGTGTGGGGTGAGGGCCGGGCTGGGTGTGGGGTGAGGGCCGGGTGTGGGGTGAGGGCCGGGTGTGGGGTGAGGGCCGGGCTGGGTGTGGGGTGAGGGCCGGGTGTGGGGTGAGGGCCGGGCCGGGTGTGGGGTGAGGGCCGGGTGTGGGGTGAGGGCCAGGCCAGGTGTGGGGTGAGGGCCGGGTGTGGGGTGAGGGCCAGGCCGGGGTGTGGTACATGGATGAGAGCTGGAGTCTGTCTTCTGTTTTTTTTATTGTTCTTTTTTTTTTTTTTTAGGTGGGGCTTGAACTCTGGGCCTGGGCGCTGTCCCTCAGCTCTTCAGCTCCAGGTGAGCGCTCTACCGCTTGAGCCACAGCGCCACTTCCAGTTTTCTGGTGGTTTATGGGAGAGAAGAGTCTCCCGGGCTCTCCTGCCCGGGCTGGCTTTGAACCGCGATCCTCAGATCTCAGCCTCCTGAGTAGCTGGGATGACAGGCGTGCGCCCGTCTTTACGGGAACTGGTTTGTACTCCATGCTGCCAGGTGTGACACACACCTGTAATAAGATGGAGGAGGCAGGAAGTTCAGGCCAAGCCAGGCAGAATAGGGAGAATATTTCCTCTCCAAAGACAAAGAAATTTAAAAACCAAAATGAGCCACGTTGTATCCAGTCAACGAAGTGCAGTGCATTAGCTAAACTAACAACAAGGTTGGGTCAGAAAAATGATGCGCGTTGTATCAGATACTTCCAATGCAACTGTGATGTGTTAGGTTTTTAAAAAGAGGTAGCCGAGTAAGAACAGCAGCACGCACGTGGTATTCAGGCAAGGGGTAGGTTTATTCAGTAGACCTGCTGGGACTAGGCAAGGTTGGCACTCCACGCGGCTGGGAAAGGCCAGGGAAGGAGAGAGAGCTGGGAAAGAGAGAGAAAAGAGCTAGAAAAGAGCTGAGAGAGAGCTAGAAAAGAACAGCCAGAGCGCGTCTGGGCCTGGGCTGGGCCTTATCTAGGGTATGGGCAGAGAAAGGTGTGGCCACATCAAATTCAGGCGTGACCTCAGCGGATGCAGATGTGACCTCTTCCAGGTGTGCCTGTTGCCTAGGTAACGCAGGTACTGGGTGGAGACTTTGCTGCGAGGAGGGTGGAGTCTGCTGGCCATCCAGGAGCCGACCTTACAGGATGCAAATCAACAAGGAAGTATTTTTAACTGACCTGAAGGAATAGGTTTGGATAAATAGACCTGGAATGTTTATCAGAGGAAACCTGCATTCAAGGTAAGGGTAGAACAGAGGCACCTGTCTGGGAGGCTTAGATAAGACTCTGAAAGGGGGGCTGGGAAGGTGGCTCAGTGGTAGAGCGCTTGCCTTGCATGCCTGAGGCCCTGGGTTCGATTCCTCAGCACCACATAAGCAAAAAGAAAAAAAAACAGAAGTGGCGTTGTGGCTCAAGTGGTAGAGCGCTGGCCTTGAGCTGAAGAGCTGAGGGACAGCGCCCAGGCCCAGAGTTCAGGCCCCACGACCGACAAAAAAAAAGTATGCAGAGGCATAGCTCAAGTGGTAGATCATTTTTCCAACAGTGAGATGTCCTGATTTCAAACCCTAATACACACAAAAAAAGCCCAGACCTTTAAAATGATACGCTTAATGTACAGCAGGCCGTGGGGACGCAGCCCTGGGCCCAGAACCCCGGTGCGGGAGTCCCCTGGGACTCACACTTGGCTCAGTCTCACCTGGCTGTTTTTTTCCCAAAGCTTCCACATTCCCACCTC